CTTTATAATAAAGTGTATACATATTACATCAAAATGATATACCATCTGGAATAACAACTACAGAGGATAGTTCCATAGAACGTTCAACATTGTTTCCAAAATTTCTGCTACATCTTGAATTACTGCCTGGATGATCATTTAATTCCGAACTACGCAATTCTAATTCACGATATGATTTGTTTGATATTTGACACTGATTAGACATAATAGCTCATTTATCATGTACACAAGATAATCGTAAAATTATAAAAACTACTGAACACTTTATTTGTCACTCTTTTTATAAACTATTAAATAGTTTAATTAATTGATATGAATGTGAATTGCCTTAGTATCTAGAGCTTGGATCATATACATATATGTACTACTAGACACGGGATGTATAATACGTGTATAGGAAATTCAAGAATCCAAGACCTGGAATCTAGAGCATGACAAGTACAAAAGGGTAAGGTTAGGTCTTTATGCCATCAATTGTATTTACTAAAACAGGAATTAAATAATGTGAAATATGAGAGGATACTAATCGAAAGTGTATAATTGAATATTATTTAGCGTTTCTTATATAGCTTAAAAAAATGATTAGTTAATTAAGAAACTATAATGTAATAAAAAGAATTGTAATGTTGTGTCTGGTCGTACGTATCTATCAATTGTGTGAATTTGTGGGCCACGACCACGCCACGCACGATAAGCAACACAACTACGCGCATCAATTTAGTCACAACAGTCTACAACTTGTTAAAACATACATATTATATATTAAAAAATAAATAAATAACAAAATAAATATATATATATATATCCGTAATTTAAAAATAGCATTGATTATAGCATAATAAGCATTATAGCATAATAGTCTTGTTGCATGTACAATACAGTCTAAAAGGTCATTTGAAGTAACTTCTATCTTAGCGCAAATGCAATCCGCAGATTTATTTATGTATTATTAACGAGACACACCAACCAATGAGAGGCTAGCTCGGCCTTGCGTAATAAATTTTTATTTAATTTCGATTAAATAAAAATTAATTCAAACTCGTTCATGCAGTAAAACAATTTTATTGAAACAAACAAAATTAAATTCAAAATATTTCAAAAACCATTTTGAAGAATCTCATTAGGGTGTTTTGAATGTAATATTCTATAATTTGATCCCACTCTCGTTTCAAAAGCGATTTCTACAATCGTAAGTTGCCCTTGTAAGTAGAAATTTATTTTTACTATAAATTTAAATAAATTAATTGCTGTTATTAAGTTAAATGAATTAATTTCTTCCGAGACTCCTCGATGCGACGCTATGATTCCATTCCCACACTTGTGCCGGATTCGCGAATGGGCGTAATTCTCCCAGTTTTACTTTCCTAATTCCTGGTAGAAATAAAAAACGTAGAAGATCGTAAAAAGGCAAACAAGTTGCCTGGATTTCTGCTGATAACCCTATTCTAATCGGTGCTAAGTAGTAAAAGGGGAGCAAACAACGATCTATTTTTTTACTTTAAAATAAACTTATAACAAAAGTAAAAATGATACGTGTAGCTGTTGTAAGTATAGAATAAATTAAATTTGTTGTATCAAATAACTATATCACTTAAGACTTATACAAATTCATTATTATATAAATTCATTGAATTAAATATTCAGGTAACCGGAGGGAATAAAGGAATTGGGTTTGCCATTGTGAAGGGACTTTGCAAACAATTCGATGGAATTGTATACTTAACCGCTCGGGATGTTACTCGCGGACAAAATGCAGTAAAAGAATTAGAAGAAGAGGGTTTAACACCAAAGTTTCATCAATTAGACATTACTGATGAAAACAGTATTAATGTCTTTCGCGATTACTTGCAAAAAACGCATGGAGGACTCGATATCTTAGTAAACAATGCTGCCATTGCATTCAAAGTAATTAAAAAGGCAAATTTTTTCCGTGTAATATTTCGTGGAAATGTTTTATTTAATATGTTTTCTAATGTATAGACGGCTGCAACAGAATCATTTTCAGTGCAAGCTGAAGAAACTTTAAAAATAAATTACTTCAGTCTAAGAAAAGTATGCGAGATACTTTATCCATTATTGAAACCTCATGCACGAGTGGTACATGTTTCAAGTTCTCTTGGTCATTTGTCAAAGATTCCCAGTGAATCACTGAAAAAACGATTTTCCGATACAAAGCTTACAGAAGAAGAATTGGATAACCTCATGCGCGAATTTGTAGAGTAAGTTGAATTTCTACAATATATTCAACGAGGTAACAAAGTGTAAGAAGTATTTCTTACATTTAAAAATGTAAATTTTCAGAGCTGCAAAGGCTGGTAATTATTTGGAAAAGGGTTGGGGAAATTCTACTTATGCTGTAAGCAAAGTTGGAGTGTCCGCTCTAGCCAGAGTCCATCAAGCTATGTTCAATTCTGATTCAAGAAAGGATCTTGTGGTAAATGCTGTGCATCCTGGTTATGTTGACACTGATATGACCAGCCACAAAGGAATTTTAAAACCAGATGAAGGTGCTGTAGCTCCTATTTACTCAGCGTTACTACAAGAGAACACGGACATAAAGGGCAAATACATATGGTTTGATAAATCATTGGTGGACTGGATGAAAGATATGTGAATAGACCCTGCACAATCATATTCCTTCTCTTTATATAATATATACATGTATAACAAAACACAATGTAATAAATTCTTTTACACAATAAAAGATTTTTTATTTTGGTAGAATATATAAATTCAATTTACATACTTAGTATCCTTTGAATAACTTTTGTAATAATAAATAAGTCAATGACTTCTTTAAACCTAAGAATTCCATGAGCTATCTTGCTTGAACTGCTGCTTCCTTACGGGCAGCATCTTGTAGTAATTGAGTATCCACTTCATCTCCTGGTAATTGAACATAACGTACCACTGATCCACGTATGAAACAATTCTTTACAGACAACTGAAATAAAATATTTTGTATTACAATTAATTTTTGAATTATACTTTAATAATATTAAGTGTTACAAACCATGTGAGGATATTTATCTGGATCAGTTACGCTTATATCTGTTAGTTTTATGTTCAGATACTGATCTACAGAATGTAGAGTACCACAAATGCTAAAACAAAAATTAAGTATCAATTTCATCAAAATGATCTCTGTTAAAGGATCTATGGGATGCTACTTATCATTAAATAAATTACCTAAGATCATTTTTTAATTCCACAACGACATCCTTGCCGATGAGGGACTTAAAAAACGAATAGAATAACTGTAAAAAATATTTCTAAATTATTCAATCAATTAACAAAACAAAGGTTAGCCCGCCAGATGTAAAAAGTAAACTCACCATTCTAGCTCAATGAAAACGTTTAAATATGTATTGATACCTTTCGATCGTATTATTTAAACAACATAATGCGAATTGAAATTGTGTTTAAAGATTACAACATTAACTACCGGTCAATATGATGATAGTTTGTTTGTAAATGTCACTGCTCACGTCGTTGAATAAGTTTTACCATCAATGTGTGTTAATTTTAAGATGCATCTCGACTGTCTTGTAAAACTTTGACTTGAAAATTATTTTATTTATGTACATAATAGACAAAGATAGTACGCTATGAAAAAGCAATTTAAAATAATTCTATGTTCTATAAAATATTTCTTTTGTATTGTATCAAATATTAATTGCTTGTGTTCGTATTGGTTGCTTCTGTCGATTGGATACGTTCATCATTTCTTGTAACGCCACCAATCGTCATAGCCTGAAAGACAGAAAATCCTTCTTATCGTCTATATTTGTTCGGAATACGCTAGAGAATGGTGGAAACTTTTTAATCTTTATTCCCATTGGCCAGCAGCTTATTATTGCAACTGTCTACTCGTCATCAGAGCCAGATGAACCTTATCCAATCTCTATCCTTGTTGTAGTAGGGGTAAAAATGCGCTGTTATAGAGACCATTTTACCTGGATGGTACAGAAAGAGCGTTCACTGTATCATCAAGGTTGGCTTTTCAATAAACTTTTGTTAAAAGCTATTTTCGTGTACGATAGATCTCGTACGGATTTGTATCATTAAAATAGAAGTTTGTTAAATTATTTACGGAATGATTAAAACTTGCTGCTTGATCAGGAAGATCGCCGCTTCGCGGTTGGTAACAAAAGGGCGTTGACATTTAATCAGAAAGGCGAAACGAGAAGATACGTTTGTGACATTAATTCGACAGTAGCAATCCGATCGGATTCGTTGTTGCTCTCAATCTCCTATGTATTAATCGAGAAACATGTCAATTAATTTAACGAAAAATAATGACGGCTTGGTGGCCGCCTGGCACAGCGTAGTCGACGATAAATCGTCTACTAACTGGTAGGCTTGCATCTCTCATCCTTCACTCATATATTGTCATTCCCGGCTATGCACTAACATCACGCAACGAACGCGTTCATTCAATTAAATCCTAGAAATAAATTGCAATCTTGTATTTAGAAGCTACACTTTTTACCATAATGCTATTTATAAATAGCACTAGGTGCACAATTATCGCTTACTGTCATAAAGCTAATGTTTTCTAGGTTTTAGTACACACAACGAAGTATCGAACAGTTTCTCGGAATAAAGAATGAATGTTCCTTTCCGATTAATCAAAATATTACGTTTCAAATTTGTTTCAATCAATATTAGTTTTACTATGAACTTTATAAATAATTGATGTTTATTGGCTACTTTGTAGTATTATGATTGCATTTTGTTTTTGAATCCTTTATTTTCTTAAATGTAATGCTGATACAAATCTTAAACAGGGCTGTATTTGGATATGAAGGACAATCTAACAATTTAAAGGTTGTCAGTACCGGATGTGGTGGATTGGAGGAGATGATTGAGCATTTAAATAGTAGTCATATCATGTATGCCTTCTGTCGAGTGATAGATACTAAAACAAGCCTGCCAAAATGTCTGTTGATAAATTGGGTAAGGATCCAGTAATATCAAACTAAACATGTTTATGACAGGGCTTTTACAAGATTTTTGTTCAAATACATTTGTTTCAGCAAGGAGAGGGTGCTCCTATAGTGAGAAAAGGGACATGTGCAAACCATATTAGAGATGTAGAGAAATTATTGAAAGGTGCTCATATAACAATTACGGCCCGCTCTGAAGATGATGTGGAAGTAGATTCTATTATGGAAAAACTGGCCAGAGCCACTGCATCTGCATATAAATTTAATGAGCCTAGAGGGGAAAATGAAGGGAATGCAGGGCCAGTTGGTACCACATATCGAAGGTATAACTTACATTATCTTCATAAAGCCACAAGGTTTTTATCTTTAAAAGAATGCACTTTACAGAGTAATCCCTGAGCAAGAGATAAACGCAATCGAACGAGATCAATTTTGGCAGAAAGAAGAATTGGAGGAAAAGAAGAGGCTGGAACAAGAACGTATTAAGTCTGAGAAAGAACGTTTACGGCTTGAAGAAGAAGTTAGAAAGAGAGAGGAGAAGGAAGCAATGCTTAGAGAACAACAAGTAAATGCTGTACATTTATAATCGTCGTTGTGAAACATAAAATGTTTTATTAACATAATTTTAATGCCCCTGCAGGTCACTGCCAAAGAGAACTCAATAGCACGACAGAAGTTGGCTGAGCAACAGGCAGAAGAAGCGTACCACAAATGCAATCGTGTAGCACCAACTCAGTACTATAATAACGAAGTCGATGATTACCATAAATCGCGAAGTGAAGAGTTACGACTGCAAAGAAGTAAAGAAACACAACAATTAATTGCTCAAAGAACAATAAATGCGCGAGCCGTGTTTGAGCAGAACACGGCTGCCGGTCAAATGAAGACTACCTCGGTGCAACAGCAATATGTACAAAAAAATAGTCACGTGGAGGCAGCTAAAAAAGCGCTGGAAGAGAGTCAGCAGAAGGAGATACCTCATACTAAAGCACAGGAAGAAATAAAGACTGAAATGAACAAAGCACATAACGTGGAAACAGCCACGAATTCTGCTGCAAGCATACCGGAAACACAAAGTCAGTCTGTAGTGTCTAAAACGAGTGAACCGCAAGAGGAGGCTGAACAACCATCAGCTACGAAAGAAGCTGTCATCGAAGACAACGAGTTGTACAGTCAAATGGATGGCCAGTACTTATATTTCGACATCAATAACGAAGGAATGAAAGCGAGGGCCTTGTACGACTATCAAGCAGCCGATGGTACGGAGATTACTTTTGATCCCGGTGATATTATTACACACATAGAACCAATTGATGAAGGATGGTGGCAGGGTCTCGGACCCGATGGAATTTTCGGGCTTTTTCCCGCTAATTATGTCGAAGTTATCGAGTACGACCAAACGCGATAAGGAACAGCTTGTGCGCAGCTTGTGAACATAGAATATCTTTTCTTTCGGTCGAAAAGGAACAGTACTTGCTTTTTTGCATACAGATGTGATTCATGTTTTCATGTTTTTAACTTGTAACTTCGTATTTTCTTTCTGTTAAGATAATACACGGTTTTAAGAATTTAGGTGCATTCTCTCTCATACTCTGAAGTTAAACGAATAGCACGTACACATTTATAATGAGAGAAGAGATTACGTTTTAAATATTTGATGCACGCTCATTAACGAAGGAATTTCATACTTTTAACGATAATTACAGAGACAAGATTTTAAACTTTCATAGTCTTACAATGCCAATACATATACGAATGGCGAAGTACGTCTTCCCATGTTTACCGTCATGTCGAAAATTGAATTAGCTGTAAACAAATATATGTCTTTATAACATCCTCTGTCGGTGACCGACGCAATGGTAAAAATAGTATATTTAATAACTTAGCGGACACCCTTTAAATATATTTACAAAGTGTAATAAGTACATATTTAGGAACATGTTTAATTCTCTAAATAAATACTTAAATTTGTTATAGTAATTTCTGTGGTGTTCTAGTTTCAACCCAGTGCAATGTCCCCAATATTTGAACGATTTTCGTTCGATTTTATATTCGGGTTCTGGTATGTATGCATTAATAAATTATCTAAAATTGGTTGTATTAAACTTACTTTACTATGCGATATAGAAATTTTTACAGGTAAGTGACCTTAATGAAATAAAATAGAATCACAATATCAACGTTGTACAAATAAAGTAAGTAAAATCATCTGCGGTAATTTTGATTCTGATTTCCACCTCCACTGCCTCCTGCATGACTTAAAAATGCTAGATGGCCTTTTGGGCATTTGTTGGCATAATGTCCTTTTGTTCCACATTTGTAACAGGTGACCTCTTCCAGGGGTTTCTGTGGCCCTCGTGGTGGCGGTCCATTGTGCATGTTCATATGATGTGCTGCGTGAGAATTGCCTTCTATTTCTTGTCTAACTTGTGCCTCCCTTACATCTGGTGGCATTTTGTTGCAGTAGATAGCTTTGTGGCCACCTTCTCCACAAAAGTGGCAAGTGATCATGACTTTCTTTCCTTCTTTTGGCTGCATGTCTTGCACGGCTGGCAATTCGAATCGTGGACTAAAAAATATCAGAAAGCGATGCATGAATTCTGCGGAATTTAAATAAAGCAGAGCTTGATGGTGATGAACTTACTGCATGAATTTGCAATTTGGTCCGTCCGGACAGAAACCAGCTAGGTAAGCCATACAAAGGACACGTCTCACATGTCTATGTCTACATAATGGCCCGTGCCTACAGAATCCACGATCATACCAGGGACAATCTCTAACTTTAGTTTCTGGGTCGATGTGTAAGAACGGACATTCCTTATTGTGACAGGCATCTAACAATTCATAACGAATTTAAACACACCTATATTGGGAAAACTTAATAATGTCAGAGATAGGAAAATATTCAGTATCTCTCAAAGTCACAATTGTAGAAACAAATTTATATTCTTGTAAATAATTATGTATGGTACACTTACTAAACCTAGAGTAGAAATAACATTCCGGCATTTTCGTCATATCATATTCGTGTAAAAATTCGCACTGATCGCCCTTTTTACAGAGTCCTCTTAACCAATGTTTACAAACAATTGTACGATCTCCTCTGACATGCCTAAACGGGCAAGAAGCTCCTTTAATGCAAGTACCTCTCGGATAAAATTGACATACCGCAGCGGTAGATTCTATAAATGATATGAAGATAACGGTTAGATCAATCGTAGGAGTATCAACCAGACACTGTAGACATAAAATTAAAAGATCGAGGATATCGTTAAGAATTTTTAACATAATAAAGGAAAATTTATTTAATTTCATTAGATTATACATGTAAATTGGACAACTTTAACATGTTCCTGTTATATTCATTTCATGTATGCTGTCGTATAACCTAAAGAAAAAAACGGATCTACAACAATTACATACTGTCCATTCCAGTAAATGGTAAAGGGAGTGCACCATATTGTTCATCAAGAGCAACTTCGATATCAAAGCGCATATGATCCACGTTTGCAACAATGCACTCCATTATTATTTCAAATCTTGCAACAATCACAGTCAAGTCGCCGTCTACACATCAACTAAACACTCTACATCCGGTGTCAAAACGTTCCACACTGAAATTTTTATTTTTCGAAACAGATATACATTTCACGTTTATTTCCAACAATTCTTCATTCAAAAATATGATTTATTTACACTATTTATTGGGTAAATAAAACACTAAGAACTTCAACTTCCCGCATACATTCACTTTCACGTGTGCTGATGATACTGCAGGCGTCATCGTAGTTCAACATTGACAGACATTTTCCAAGCGCCATTTTGAATTTGAACATGAAAACACAAGTGCAAGAGTTTATATACTTAAGTAATCCGTGGCTCAAAATTATTATGTTTGGTCTCAAAATGATTTCAGTGATTCTAGGCATCGATCCCATATTGCAAATTGCTATAAAAATTGTTGGTTATGGCTGTTCAAGAATAGTTTATTCAGGCACAAACTAAACTTTTAAAAGGAAAATTAATTTTATGAAAAATAGCGCGAAAACAAGTAGCATTTTAGGAATATTTCACTGAACTTCATTGTACCTAAACCATTTTAGAAAAATTCATTTATTGTTAAACACATAGAGAATAATACAGGTTTCTTTCATCTCAAACCGGACAAAATGTTTGTCAAAATTATCTTCAGAAAATATTGCTGAGGGTTCAATAATTTAGAATAGATGGCGTCAGCATGCAGAATCCATGTTGTTTTTCATTGATAAGATAGGCAACCGTACTGTTAGTTACAAAAACCCGTAAGATGTCAGCTAACGTTATTGAATAAATCTTTAAAGATGTCGTTTATCGAATGTTTTAGTCTAAAGAAAAACTTTTGTTACTGTTTGTACTGCTAATGTTAACTGTGCTGCTAACTACAAATCTCAAATTGTCATAGTAGGTGATAGTAGTAAAGTGAACTATTATTTCGAATGTTGATGTAGACTAAGGTATTAAAAAATAAATACAAGGAAGTGTATAGATTATTATATGGAAGTAGAATCGTTTTGATATTTTCTTTTTACTTTACCATCGTACGGTTTGATTATTTAATTTTTATAAACAGACCAAATTCTAAAATAACATAAATGTAATGACATATTTTTCATGCACTTGTAAAACATCAATATGTACAAATATTTAGCACATGAGATTAATCAATCAAGTTAATGATACTGTTATAGTTTTAAAGAAGATGCAACTCCAATGTGCTCTTATATACTGACCCAAATAAGACATGGATAATATAGAATTACTATTCTTTGACACATTTTCGCATGATATTTCTGAGGTGAGTACAAAATTGTCTTTTAATTGCCCTTGTGTGAATGCTATCAAATATTTTGTTATTCCTTTCAGGAACTCAATTTAGATTTAGTCCAGTTCCCCAAACCTGTATATATTAGCGAAGTTAGGATTATTCCTCTGGGTGCTAGAGTACAAGCAGATTTTCCTGGAGGTGTTCGTTTGGGGTAAATCAGATTCACATTCCTAAAACACTATCGTAGATTAAAGGTAACCAATAATTATTAATTATTTGCAGGGCTACTAATCCATCACAATTTGAAATTGAATTTTTTGTGAATGATCTAAGTAAACCTGGAGCTTCTACTTTCGAGTCTCTAGGAGAATTAGAGTACAAACAAAATATTCATATTCAGCTGGAATGTGAAAGAAAGCAAATACCAACAGATGGATTGGTATTGAGGGGATGGTATACCACTATCACTTTAGCTGTGTACGGAACACTGACAAAATCTTTAAACAATCCACAAGAAGTTATCAGCTCGGCTGCTGGTTCTGCAGCTTGTGCGAGTGGATTAGAGGAAACAGTAGAAAATACTGTTCAAATATCAGAACAGCAATCTGATTGGTATTATGAGAATCAAACGCAGACAAATTCGAGTGTAAGTAGAAATGTGCCTGCTAACGTGAGGCAACTCCACTATTTGGTAATTCAATAAACTAAGAAAGAGCAATTATAAATTAAATTAATGAAATAGGATCTGTAACAAAAAATGGGTAAAAAGTGGAGCTGCATCTTTATATAATTTATCCAATTTGCAATTGAATCTCTTGCATATGTTTCTATAACATTTATTCGGGATTTATAGGAAACATGTGTAGCAGCTACTCCGCCACCTCCTATACAACCAATACAAACTGTAGAATCGTCCAGAAATTCAGCATCAGATACTGGAAAGATAGATGTTGCACATTGGGAAGAAGATAGTGGAAATGGTGCTCTAAAACCAACGAAACGTCCTTCCTCACCGCCCTCAGAATCTTTAGTATCTTTAAGCCCAGAATCCATATCAGCAGAAGAAGAAGAAGGAGAGCAAGATGCAGGCGAACAAGAAACAGGAGAACCGTTTGAACCCATATTGTCCGATGAAGATATAATGGCAGATGATATGCCTCCAGCTGCAGAATACGAATGCGAAAACATTCAGTTAGACGATATTTATAGTTTGACTCCGCCGGATCTACTGGAGCTAGAGAAATTAGCGAACATCGCCGAAGAGTATTCAGTCAACCCAGAAATGTTGGACAAAATACACGAAATATTTCAATCCTTATCAAAGTCAGTTTTACATTTCAACAACGCATCCGGACAAGAAAAAGAGACGTTTGTTCATAACTGTGAATCCTTGTGTGTGATACTCAGTCCATTTCATTTGAACAGTACTGATTTTAATGACTTAACAAACATTGTGAGTGCAGGCTTAGACATGGATCTTGCACGTGCTCAGCCTCAGCCAGCTTACAAAGTTCGACACGTGAAGGTTGGTGTACGATTAGCAGAAGCTTTATGCAAGCTTCCTCAAGGCCCGGATATACTATTGAAAGTAGACGCCCCTTACAAACTATTAGCATTATGTATGCGTGAAAATGTGGCACTTCCTGTAAAGCTCTCTGCTTTACGTACTCTGGATGCTGCATTGATAAGCCCTGTGATCGTTCAAGAATTTCTTAAGTCGAAAAGCAATTTGTACAAGAATGCCGTAATGATGTTGGATACGGCCAAGTTGGCGAGGTTGAAGTACGCATTGAGTTCGATGCTCCGAAAGGTACACACTTACGAATTTCTTGAGGAGATAAAGGAACTTGATGAACTAGCCGTAACTGAACTGACAAACACTTATGTATGCGCACCCACGTTAATGGCCCAGCCAAAACGCCAGCTTCCAGCTGGAGCACAGATGGAATTCGAGCGAGAGCAAAACCGAAATCCACGTTGCCATCTGATAGCATACTTTGAGCATCACAAGTTCTTGTATCGCGTTCTCGTGGCACTTACTTCCCCAAAATCGGACTTGAACTTAATCAAAACTACTCGACATTTTCTGTTACGTCTTTCTGACACGAAGGAGGGTTTACTGTATTTGCTGAAAGAACCGGAAGTCACAAAATTAATTCTAAAAGCATTGAAATGCGATTTGTCTGGTGCAGGATCCGTTCTAGCCTGGCGTCTTCAAGTTGTACAATGTTTATTACGCTTAAAACATCAGCCTTCAGATTGGTTGGCCCTGAAAAAGCTTCACTCTTTTCTGACGTTTCCAGAAGGTTTGCAAGCCATAATAACAGTTCTTCCTATAGGAGAGTTTATCGATATTTTAATACCCTATGTTTCTGATCCAAATCTCTGTGAATTTTCTGCGGAGATCATATCAGCAACGATTAGGTACTCTGACCGAATAGAGGTGTTTCAGAACCGTGCTGCTGTAATCTTGGAAAAATCACGAGCCCAAGCAGTTTTGAAGGATGTTACTTCCTACATAACTACAGCTGCACAACCGAGTCATTGGAATTATGGAGACGTTTTTCCGCTTGTGTCTTGTATTAGAAAGAACGCAGATAAGGCGGCATCTCTTCCAGGACAGTTAATTACAGCGTGCAGAATCCTGTACTATCTTGTTTTCCCATTTAATAATGATGTGGATCCATTAGAACCTTATATCGAGTTGAAGTATAGAAATGCGTTAACTCAGTTGTTTGCTGCCGATGGTTTAACAGCTCTCATTGCAGTGATGGCAAACATTTCCGAGTTCTATGAACAGCCATTCTTGCATCGTGCAGCTCTAACGGGACGAAGAGGCTTGGCTTTGGTTGCACTGCTTCTGCCTTGCGTGAAATTGACAAGAGCATTGTTGGAACGTCTTGTAAAATGTATGGCAACAGATTTTAAAGATCTAACAGCTGTGGTACCGCTTCTTGGTGTTTATTCACTAGTCGAAGCTATTCCTCCTGTTAGAATCGTACAGACTTTATCCGAGGAAATAGTGGGAACTCTGTTAGTATTCACACAAGCTGTAGATTCAGATGGATCAGGAAATGTAGCAAAGTCTCTGTGGACACAAATGCTGGGCGAAGTTTTAAAAATGGTTTCTCTCAGCCCTTGTAATTTCATACCTGGCTTGAAACTTTTGACAAGACTTTTACCACCCGTTTTAACTTTGAAAGAAACTATAACCGAAGACGCTACTAGATTGTTAGGCTTTAGAAAATTGTGGTCTGCTCATCTACAGGCTCAAGCTAACAACTTAACCGAAACTTTAAGACTGCTATGTGCCAGCTGGAACAAGGATCTATTAATCCTTCTCTCAAAAGTATGTATGCAATTGAGCGATTTAGCAGCACCCACGGCGTTACTTGTTGGTAGATGCTTACTGGATGGTATAATAGCTGCAGCTCCTTTAGAAAACAATGTTTTGATTCTTGCATTGCTCAGTGAGCTTGCTAGACACGCACCTATGAAGGCAACACTGCTGACTTTAACTAGTCCAGCATCTCGAGCACAGGTCAAGTCTGATCAAAAATATCCGCCGGTTATTGAGATGATGTGCAATGCACTGAAAAGCACAAGCGACATTAGGACACAATATGAAATACTTGATATTTTTGAAACATTGTGTGATTGTACATTGAGTCTGATGCAGGAGGATACCAATGAGGCTTTTGAAAAGGGTCTGACACACTCGGTACCAAGTAAGGAGCCACTTCTATCAATTTTGGCAGCCCTCATTGACATTCTAGCGACTAGTACAAAGTTTGAGTCCGAGGTGCTCCAAAGTACGCTTCGAATACTTGTATCTCTTAGTAGCCACAATTATGGACTATACCATGTAAAGAGCTGTTTAGAAAATAATCCTGACGCGTTACGGTCGTTACTAGAACATGTCTCTACGTTAGAAGAACCTGAAGATCAACAGGTCATAGATTTAACTATAACGTTCTTAGAGAATTTAATTGCATCGGAATCACAACGCAGATCGTTGCATCTACGTGTGCAGCAACTGGCATCATTAATATCGTGGGACAAGAATGATCATCCCTTAGAAAAGATTAAGAGAGCGCAGGAGTTAGTAGAGATTTTGAAGTCCGCCGAAGACAAGGAAGAGAAGGAACCGATTCCGGAAATGTTAGAACCGTTATTACCAACTCCGGAAGCTTTATTAAATCAATTTTCTCAGCGATGTCTGCGGACATCGGATCCCGTGTCGAGACGACCAAAGAAATATACATTCATGTCCCCGACTCAAGTAGCAACTGAGAATACAATAGATCTTTTAACTCTTGCTAGCGAACTGCTTCCAGCTGATTTTAATTTATTGGCAGAAGCCCAAAACCTGTGCTCTAAGGCACCGCCTGATGATGCTACTCAACCACTGCAATCAAAGTCTCAAAACGATGATCAAGAAACTAGGGATATACAGAAGCAATCGACGTCTCCTGTTTCAAAAGTGAAACAACCATTTGGTAAGCTAAGTTTTATGGATGCTCTGTACATTTATATATATTTTGTTTCTTATTTCCTTATTCATTTACAGTTACACCTATGCGGGGTAGAACACAGTTTTCCAATTCCTTGAGAGGTGGTCCAGTAGTAGGCGGTGTAGGTAGAGGTGCAGATCCATTCCGATCTAGACCACCAAACACGTCACGACCACCATCTCTTCATGTCGACGATTTTGTAGCATTGGAGACCTGTGGTGCACAACCAACAGGACCCACAGGGTATAACAAACTGAGCATTCGCGGTACTTGCCCTTCACGAACAATAAATGCAGGAACAAGAAGCAGACCGTGGGCTCAAGAAACTCGACCACCTTACCTACGTTGAATTCAGCAACACTCAGTCCATGATTTGCAAATTACAACAAGATGAACAATTTTGTAACAATAGATTTAATATATTGTCCACTAAGTTTTTATTAAAAATCTTTTCACGATAGTACAACTATTTGTATATGACCTAGAACAAAACGTCTTAGAAATATCCTTACAATTATGTCCTAATCTTTGTTTCCGACATTTTAACCATTATTTTTCTTTTGCATTGTTTCTTTCCACTCGTCATATAATAACTTGTAACCGTTATAGTTTTTTCCCAGTTCGCGTACATAGTGACGGTGGTATCGGTTCTGAAATACCAATAAATAATGAGACATAATTTAATAGAAAATAATATAATTTTTGCCAGTAAAAATGATTTAAGTACCATATCTTTTAATTCTTCCAATACTAATTGTTCAAAATTTTCTAAGATTTTAAATATATTGTGGGATGGTTTTATATCGTTTTCTAAAATATAATTCAGCATAAATTTAATATATTCGAAGTCCTTCCTGTAACATGCTGAGCGAATTAGCGCCCCCACTACTGTAACATTTGGTTGTAAACCAAGAATACTCATTTGTTCTAAAAGCTCTATGCCATGTTCAAGTTTTGGGCATGCTAAGGCTAATACTCCAAATGTCATAATGTTTGGTTCTAGATTACATCTCTGGACTTCATTGAGAATATCCTGAAATACAAATTATAGATAAGAAATAATTCAATAAATGTTCTAATTGAATGAATTCTATTAACTAAAAACTTACTTTTGCTGCCATATATTGTTTTCTAAAACATCTTTTTTTAATAAGCATATTAAAGAAACTTATATCTACTTCCATGTCATATTTATTAATATATTTCAAAAATTGGTTTTCTGCTTCAAGAGAATTTGGTAGCAGTTCCATGAGAATAGTCAATGTCTTCGTATTAGGAGTTACATTGTCGTCTTTCATTCTTTCTAACAATTTCTCTGCTCCACCAAATAAAATTAGTTTATTAGATATCAATATTTGATCCAAATTTTCAGATATTAGTGATTCAATATCCTGTTTAATAAGGTTTTCACTTTTATTTTTATCATCTTCAACAAAAGAAAGAAGTGGACGACTTAATACTGGTGGAGATGCTAATAAGTCTGGTCTTCCTGCAGATTCAAATACAATTTGAGAACTAGGTGTAGCAGGTGTTATAAAATCATTTGCTTTCAGTTTACCAAACTTTGTATCTCTGATTGCTCTGAAGAGTAGATTGTAATGAATTACAGTTGGCTTCATGCCATGTTTTCTCATTTGATGCCACAGAGCTAAAGCATATTTTAATCCTTCTTGTTTATCACTAATTGCAGCATGAAATAAAGCAACATATAGATCTTCTGAGAGCAATCCTCTGTCTTTTGCTTCATCTGCTATTTCAAAGGCAGTATTAACTTGTTTATGCCAAGCATAAGCTTTTACAAGAGTTGCATAATGTGTTGTATTTAAAGCAACATTCTTTTGGTAAAAATGCTCTCGTAAATTTTGTAGGTACCAGATTGCTTTATCTGTATTATTCGTCAAAGCACAAGCATTAATTAAGTTATTATATACTGCTTGAGAAGGTATTAGACCATCTTTCTTTAATTTGTTGTAAAGTTTAAAGCACATTTCCACGAATCCTTGCTGAGCAAACCCATATATTAATAGATTATACATGTGTGCACTAAGTTTATCACGATTCTCTTTAGCTAAATCCAGTACAGTTAATGCTAAATTCAAATTTCCATCAGCTATATGAGATTTGATAAGGTTACAGTACTGTCCATGACTATATTTTTTCCACTTTGGAACTTTTGCATCACTTTCCATAAATTTCTCTTCTTTTGCTTCTGCTTCATCCATTTTGACTCTTTCATATTTTTCGTACGCAAGATCTCCAAATACATTAGTATTTTTGCGAGTTGTTGATGAACAAAAGTTTCTGTTTGATCTAGACTGATGTAAAAAAGTTCTTCTAGTTTCTTCTAATTCATTATTTCTATCAATTTGTTAATGCGTAACGAGTAACGTGTAGTACTTACATTCAAATAACATGCATAATTCGTATATTTCATGTAATGAAAGGAATTGTCCACATAACCTATAAGAAAACTCGATTTCAGGAATGAATTTATTTTCGATGAGAACATCTTGATCGCACGAATTGACTTAATTCCAATTTATAACAAATCTGTACATGGTAAATAGAGCACGTATTATTTACGTAAAATAATTATTACAGTTACGTATATCATGTAATAAATACGTACATGTGTTCAATATATGTACTGTGTTGCATGTAAAGTGTTCATTGCCACGTTTATTACCTACAATACAATAGTTTTATTAAAAATACGATTTATGTAAAAACAAAGATATATACCTGTGCGGCATAAAGGATACATTGTTTAAAAATCGTATTAAAGGAAAAAAGCAGGAATTTATTAAATATAAATACAAAGTACATATACATTAGTTTTAAGAAAAAGAAAAGACAAAGATATCAGGTATTTGATAAAGAGTGGAACTATATTTTGATTAGAAGAAAACTATAGTCGGGAAAAACTGTACGTGTGCATTTATCGATTATACGTTAATTAATTCATTAGTTCAAAATACATAATAATGTTAGTGCCGGTAAAGTAGATATCTGGCGCACTAGCTCTATACGTTTGATAGTTTGAGCGGAACTCGGAACGCTTAGGAACGCTGTAGTTGTTTGTAGTACAGCTCAGCATATTGAACAATGTCGGGGGCAAAGCGTTTAGAAATATGAGGGTAAGTACAAATTGCTTTTCTCTGATTAGTTGACGATTCATAGCTGAGCAGTGCTGCTCTTATACCTTTAGACGAACAGAGGAAGTGGCGAGTGAGCAAGAGAGCACGAGATCAGCACAACCACAAGCAAAACATGTTTAACCCTTCCCTTACGGCAGCCCGCTCCGCTGGAGTGACGTCACTGAACGGTGCACCGCGCCACGAAGTATGCACTTTGTCGGTAGTCTTCGATGTTCAAACTTACAGTGCCGAACAAAATGATAGGACGTTTGCCATTTTTGAATGTTTCGCATAATATAATAAAATATACGTACATTTTACATACCTTATGTATTAGATATGTTCTTAGAGATAAGCATAATAAACCTTGAGCTTGTATCTCATGCACGAAAAGAGTTAAAGAAAATAATGTAAAAATGTGCTCATTTTAATCGGACAAAATGATAGAACATTACTAAGAAGAAGCAATTGTTTTAAAAAAATATTTTATTGAACGCTATATTAATATTTAGTGAGATCACCTTTTTGTTGTACAACATCTAATAAACGCTTAGGAATTGACTTGTACAATTTTTTAATACGTTTTTGTTTTAAGAGAGACCCCACTTTACGATTGTCTTGTATGTACACTTTTTTAAGAGCTACATCACAACTGTTTCATCGTATTATATGAAAAACATGAAAATAGTATATTGTATGAATATCAGCTGGCGAGAGTCTGCACAGGTGGTCGCATACACATCGATTATAGTCAGCACCCGATACACAGATCGTCGCGCGAACGCCGATTATAGTCGGCACCCGTACACACAGGTCGTCTCGCGGCCGCTGACTATAGTCGGCACCCGTAACGAAAGGGTTAAAAACAACTTTACCATGCTCGCGATCTCACTCTATTCGCGCATCCGTTTGCCTGGTACTCTACCTGAAACATTCGGCGTAATATTCGACTTGTACTTTTTGCTCCGTAGGATTCTCGACCACACAGCCAGCGCATTTGCGAAGGTCTTGAAACGGCGACCATTTCTACAATTATTAAATTTTTCGAAAACTCATAAACTACATTTTAGATAACACTCTCTAGTTTATAAATTTACAAAATTTCGTTAATTCAGCTATCCCAGTACTTGATAACTGGGACGACCAGCAATCAATATTTTACTCTACAAGAAGGAGTTTCGAAAGCAACGAATAATTTCGCAATTTTATACGATTTTAAATAGGGGAACCTGTGGAGTACAGGAGGTTGTTTTGCTTGTGGTTCGATTGGAAAAGATGTAAAGTCGAACTTCTCTAAGCCCGTAATTCTAAAGTTTGAATCTCGCGCTATACTTTTATGCCCAAGCGAAATCCCACCACGAGATTTGGGATTGTGAACGGGCCCAAGAAGGAGGTTGTAAACTGCTCGGCCTGGCAGGCCGGGTACGCCAGGGACCCGAAGTCAAAAAGGCCTAGCATGTGCCAGTTGATGCCATGAACCAGAACCTAACATGTGCCAGTTGTCCAGAACCATTATTGCGATCAATTTGTATGCTATGAAATAATATTTTCGGGAAAGAAAATAGATAACTACCAGGTCTACTAGGTAGACCAGCAATAAAAGGATACTCGATACCTTCGGAAATTATTTTTGTCCGAGCCCTGGCACACGCTAGACCTTTTCGACCTTGGGCCCCTGGCGCACCTGACTTAGCGACGGACGGTTTACAACCTCCTGTGTTTGACAGGCTGCATTATTTAATAACGACTCTTTCCAGGGTCTCAAATTCATACAAACAGGAAAGTACGTTCTTATTGTCTCCAGAAGTGAAAATTATCGAAGCCCGAATAAAATACAATTTTTTATGTAACCCAGATCCACAAACAACACAGTAATTTCCTTACATTCCTACTTTCGTTGTAGATTGCGGATCAAAATTTCTATTAGACGTTCTAGAACTGTTTGTAAATTGCTCCAATCTTCAATAATTTTTAACTCTAATTTTCTAAATTTCTGAGTTTGAGAATCTTTTTTGTAGATAATTATTTAATTAAATATGTAGTCTCTCTAAGAGGATATGAATGCAAGTTTCAGTTTTGTTTTTCAAATTTTTAATACTAAAAATCGTATAAAATTGTAAAATTATTCGTTGCTTTCGAAACTCTTTCTTGTAGAGTAAAATATTGATTGCTGGCCGCCCTAGTTATCAAGTATTGGGATAGCTGAATTAACAAAATTTTGTAGATTTGTAAACTAGCGAGTGTTATCTAAAATGTAGCTAACAGGTTTTCAAAAATGTTAACAATTGTAATTGAAATGGTCGCCATTTCAAGCAATCGCAAATACGCTGGCTGTGTGATAGAGAATCCTACGGGGTGAAAAGTACAAGTCGAATATCGCGTCGAGTGTTTCAGATGGAGCACCAGGCAAACGGATGCGCGAATAGAGTGAGATCGCAAGCATGTTAAAGTAAGACAAACTACATTGGTCGTCGGTGTGACTTGTTTTGCTTGAGTTGTGCTGATGTCGTGCTCTCTTGCTCACTCCCCACTTCCTCTCTTTGTCTGAAACTGTGAGGGCAGCACTGCTTAGCTGTGAAGCGTCAACCAATCAGAGGAGAAGAGCAGTGTCTACCTGCTTCATACATAATTCTAAGCCGGTTGCCCCCGCATGGGCTTACTATGGTGAAGCACTAGTGTATTGTAGTTTCTACTGTTTGCAGTGAGCCGCGTCCGCGTCAGTTCGATAAAGACCACAGTGATTTACAGAGAAGAAGGCGATAGATAGATTCTGAATGTATCGTCAAATGCGCCATCAATCGAACACAATTTATCTAGAAGAACGAGTTTATTATTAAAGAAAGGTTTGCTCGATCAACAAAACACCTTACGACAAAGAAAGATGGAAAAGACGGACGAGAACGATCACAACGCGTTGCAAGAGGTTTTAAGTGACGAAGAGTTGACACGAATCCCGGAAGGATGCGTTAAAAAGTTAAATACGTTCTTCAACGAGAAATTTGAACGTTATATCACAGCTAAGGCAGTTTTCGAAACCAATAAAAAGAACTTTGGTAAGTCCTGATTGAATTCCACATTTTTTGCTACGGTAACGATCGCCCGGTTTATTTACATGGGGAAGATAACCTCTTCTCACGCGTAGAAGGCGCCTTATTTTGATCTGCGTTAACCGTGCGCACATTTTCCAATTATTCATTGTTCGAAAAAATATTTCAGATTGCATTTTCTCAGTTTTTAATTACCAATCTGGTCTAGATAGAGTTGTTTTCACATTACGAAGTGAATTCTTTTTCAAATATATTCTCTTTTATCTGAATGCGTAGCTTGTTTCAGAATAAGTTCATACGTAGTTTGGTTGATTTTATTGTGTATTTCTAGATCAAACTTTAGAAAAACTACAAAAGAATTTAACAGAAGAGAAGTCAAATTTTGAGGAATGCAAGGAAAAATTGACATTGTCAGAGAAGTATACTTATGAATTACAAAACAATTTGGATACATCCAAGAGTGAAATATCAAAATTACAGGACTCTGTTAAAAGGTAAAAGATGTATATATGATATAACAATTGCTATATTTTTTGCCCTTTATGGATGATATGATTCAGATTATCTAAAACACATACTTGTATCTTTTATCTCTATTAGTCGTTTAGGTGATGTATATATGCTTCTGTCTGTTACATTTGTAGTTTATGTTGGGCTCATATATACTTTGATTGTCCACAAAGATCTAGTTTGATGTCTAATGTTACAGATTAGAGAAAGAAAGTTCAGAGCTGCGCAGACATAGAGATACAGTTGTGGATGAAAGAGATGCATTGCAATTGCAAGTTGAAAGACGTGATACAGAGCTTGAAAGAATGCATACAGAATTATCTTCTCTGGGTACACAACTTCAGAATGCTGTTGCTTCTAAATGCCAAGCTCTGGCCGAGACAGAAGAGATTCGGAGTCGTGAAATGACTCTTGAATTTAAGTATGATTTCTCTTGTTTGAATGTGATATGCAATCTTACTGGCTGTTTACAATGAATGAAATAAAATTTTTTAGGGAGAAACGACTAGAGCAAGAAAGAGTTTTGATTCAACAACAAATGACAGGACTTGAGGAAGAATTGACAAAGAGGATGTCAGAATTGCAGGCAACTAGAGCTGAATCATCTTCACGAGCTCTTATAACCGATACTCGTTTGGCACAGCGCGACGAAGAATTACGTATCGCCAACGAAGCAGCATCACAGTTGCGGGAATCTTATACATCTCTGCAAAGACGTTGCGACGAACTCGCTCAGAAACTGGAGGAACAACGTACTCAAGAAATTTCTATGCATGCTTCTTATAGAGAAGAGATTAGCGCCCAAACCAGACTAGCAGATCTTTATAAAGGCATGGCCGACGAAGCCAATGCTAAAGCCGAAGAATTTAGTAATGCAGTTAAAGAACTACAAGAATTATTAGAGCACGCTACTGATCAATATGGTGGACTTGAGACAACACACAACCAGCTTCAGTTACAGCACAAAGAAGATTTAGAAGAAAAGGAACAAAAGATAGAGGAACTTTCAAAAGAATTAGAACATGCGAATGAGTTGCTTAAGAACATCAAGCAAGGTAATTAGTTGCTTAAATAAATATAATTTGTTCCCTTAATTACTATTTTAATTATTATTTTACAGAACGATTGGATCAAGCTGTTGAGCAACTCGCGCCAACAGCGGCCATTGCCAGCCGCGTGTTGAGAAAAGGTCTCAGTCTTACTCAAATATATACACAATTAGTCGAAGTAACGAATGAACTAACATCGGAACGCGAAGAGAATGAACGTTTAAAATCTCAGATGGATGTTATTCTGCGCGAACTAGAGGAGAAAGCGCCTATTTTGCAACAACAACGCGAAGATTATGAAACTGCTATGACCAACATCGCGACACTTACATCTAGATTAGACGAACTTCTAGCAGAGAATCATAAGCTGCAAGAATCATCAGATGAAGCGAATCGTATTGCTAAACATCATACTAAGGAAAATCAGAGGTTAAAGTCAGAATTATCGGATTTGGCTCGTCAGGTACGTAGAAATTGCAATTGAATTCTTTTATGAAATTGCAACTGAATTCTTTTATAAAATTGCAATTGAATTCTTTTATGAAATTGCATAAAATTATAAATAATTGTTGCTATATTTCAGGTGTGCTTCCTCTTGAAAGAAGTACAAGAGAGCAGAAGTGGTATAACCATGCATTCGAGTGAATTCTCAAATACTGTGGACATGGAAAATCTCGCTTCATCAGAGATCATTAGCAAAAAGCTTGTCACTTTTAAAGACATCGAAGAATTGCAAGAAAACAATCAGAAATTATTATCAATAGTTCGTACTCTATCATCAAGACAGGAAGAAATTGAAAGAGCAACTGACGAAATCAATTCTGGAGAAATGAAAGAGAAATTGGACAGGTTTGTAGTTTCATTTTACATTGTTCATATCTTTACAACTGTTTGAACTAAAATAAATCCTTCGAATCAATAACAGATATTTAGAACAGTTGGAGGACATGCAAGCTGCTCAAGACAGACAAACGAAAATGTTGGAGGGTCTTCTAAGACAAAGAGACATGTACAAAAATATGTATCAACAATGTTTGAAACAGACAGGTACATCGGAGAAGAAGGAGGCTCTCGAAACACCGGGAGAAGAAGTCAAGGAAGAAGGCGAAGAGAAACTAGCCGCCGACGAGTCATCCAAAGCTACTTCTACTGATGCTAACGTAGAAAAAGAATTGAAGAAGCAATTGACAGAATGCGAATCTAAATTGAAACAGGTTACAGACGAATTCGACACTTATAGAAAAGAAAGAACTGCTCACGAAAAAATGTTGGGTGAAGAAGTCGAGAGGCTTAGAAAGCAAGCTGAAGCAAGTTCGGGTCGCTGTTGTAGATTGAAAGCACAATTGGACTCTTCGAATGATAGATTTAATCTCCTACAAGCGAACGTTTCTTCTTACAAATCCCAAATAAAGGTGCTTGAAGAAAAATGTTCCAATTACAACGTAACAATCGGTAGGACGAATTTATTGGTACTTGTTAAAGCAAATGTGTGTATGGTCGTACAATTTCTGAAATTATCTTTATTCACAGGCAAACACGAACAAAGCTTAATGATTCTGAAAGATGAAGCTTTGTCAGCCCAAACACGGCTGTCTCGAGCGGAAGTGCAGCTAGAGAACTTGCGACAGGAGAGACAACTTCTACGAGATTCGGAAGGTCGTCTGCTTAAGGAACGTGAAATATTTCAACGAGAGCGTCAAACGCAGGCTTTGTTGCGAGCAGATGTCGAGTCTATCAAAGCTAGTTTAGAGCGTGTCCAAGCTGAGGGTCATATGCGTGCAGAACAACGTCTGGATGATGCAACCAGGGAGTGTGCAGCATTGCGACGACGGTTACAGGAAGAACAGGACAGATTCAGAGAATTGTCCAGCCATTTGGAGAGACAGCTTACTACGGCGCAAGAAAGATTAACCGAGGAACGAAATATAACACAGCAAATCAAAACAGAGTTGGAGCAAGCCCGCCAATCTGATACTCAGAATACACAGCGCATCGAGGAGCTTAACACTAAACTTAGACAAGCTGTTACCCATGCTATATCAAAGCCTTTCACTGGTATGTGTAAAATATGAGGTTGCTTTGTACGATTAGTTAGTTGATGATTCTATATAAAATTCTGTGGCTACTTAAACTTGCAGGTGACGAAAATCTCGTGAAGAGATTAAAAGAAGTTGAGATGCAACTTGCGACAACGCAGGCGGAGGCGAAGTCATTGTCGGAACAGTTAAAAGCTGCACGGCAGCAAAGCCAACAGTATTGTGACATAGCCGAGAGTTCAGAGGCGCAGTTAAGAGAGCTAACCGCGCAACACAATAAATCTAAAGAAGAATTAGAAAAGGCTTTGAAGGATGCACGCGTAGAAATAATGGGTCTTCACAAGAGGGTGCAGGAACTAGTGGAAGAATTAGCGAGAGTTTCTAGCGGTAGACAAGAAACCGATTCAGAACTAAGAGAAAAATTAGCTGATGCAGAAAGGAAACTTGAGGAATTAGATGAAGTTAAAGGAGAATTAGAGATCGTTAAAAGTGATTTACAATCTGCTTCGGCAACTGCGAAAGAAGCTGAAGAAAAATACGCTAGAGAAATGGTTCTGCATTCGTCAGATCTGCAGGTAAATACTGCAAAATATTTGAATTTAGTCTAAGATAGTCTAATCTATGCTTCTTTTTTCTAGGCATTAGCTAAGATTAAAGAAGAAGCTCGGTTAGTGGACCAGAAGATCACAACCCTCACCCAAGAAAGAAACAGTGCCGTAGAAGCTTTGGAACTGGAGAGATCGGCTTGTCAAGAAAGAGAAAAGAAATTACACGCCGAAATGCACGAAATGCAGCAACGGATAAATGACTTGGATGCACAAAATGTTATTTTACACAATCAAATTCAAGAGTTGAGCGACAAAACAGCGATCATGCATAGTCAGCAAACTAAGATCAGCGATCGAGAAAGTCCTGACACCAGTTTCGAAACGATGAACCGCAGCTTTAGTGGATTAGAAGACGATTCTAAATCTGCAGAGCAATTGTTGAGAGTAATGAAGTACCTGAGGCGCGAGAAAGATCTGGCTGTAACGAAGTTCGACGTTCTTAGGGCGGAGAATCTGAGAATAAAATCTCAAGCGGAGGTAAGTATTATAATTTGTAGGAAATCTTGTAGTTTACACTTAACAGCAAATATTTATTCATATTTGTTCACAGGTACTAGAAAAGAGATTGAAAGAAACGGAAGCGGTTCTTAATTCGGAAAGGGAGAAATCCGAGATCGATGTAGTAACCACGTCAAAACATGCAGAGCTATTACGAAAAGTTGAAACCTTGAATGCGATCACGGATTCAAACAGAATTTTGAGAGAGGAAAGGGATAACTTGAGCGGAAAGATGATAGAACTTACTGCAAAGGTTGCGGCGCTCTCTGAGGAAGTAGGTCCTCTTCGAGATTCGACAAGAGATTTGCAAGTGAAGACTGAAGCGTTGACGCAAGAGAACTCGAGCCTCAAAGCGGAAGCAACTAGATGGAGACAGAGAGCCAACGCATTGGTGGAGAGAGCTAACAAGACAAGTCCAGAAGATTGGCGCAGATTGCAAACCGAACGTGAGAATCTTAGCAAATTGCTTACATCGGAGCGAGAAACACATGCCAAACGTGCTGAAGAGATAGTTCAGCTGAAGACCGAGAAGACCAAGCTCGAAGAACAATTGCTTCATCTCCAGAGACAAGTACAAGCACAGAGCGAAGAAATTCAAAAAACCTCTGAGGAAGCCCGCAAGCTGGGCCAGGACTTGAGCGAAGCCCTCGCTGACTCTTCCTCCAAAACTAAAGATCTGGCGACATTGAAGAAGGAGCTTGGAGATAAAGAAGCGGTTCTTAATGACATCAAGAACAAAGAGATACAGATTCGAAAGATAGCAAAGAAATACAAGACCCAGTACGAGGATCTCGCGAAAACGGTGGAGGAAGAGAAGACTAGAACCGAAGAGTCCCGAATGGCGGCTGGTACTTCTGGTACCGAAGACACCTCGCAGGTATCTCAAGAACGCGAGGACCAATTGAGAGAAGAGGGTCGAGCAGAATTACGCCAAGCGAATATAGAGTTGACTACAAAAATCGACGAGTTGTCCCGGCAAATGGAGTCTGTGCAAAGTGAAGCCGATTTGCTCAAAAAGGAAATAGATACGATGAATAAAACCAGCGTGGAGAAGGAAGAGCGTGCCAAGCAAGTACTGAAAGGTGCTAGAACGAAGATCATGCAGCTGACAGAATCGAAGAAGATCTGTGAGAAGGAATTGCTTGATTTGAAGGCAAAACTGGAGACAGGTGCTACGGAATCGGACACTACTGAACACGATGCTCGGCTGGTAGCTCTTAAATCTCAGATGGAGGGCAGAATCTCTCGTCTAGAGCACGAGAAAGCAGACATTCAGGCAGAAAAGGAAACTTTGGTGCAAAGGGTCAACCAGTTGCAACGGCAGTTGGCTGGAGTCAGTGGTGTTAGTGCTACCACTGAACCTCCTACAGCTAACATTAAACCGATGTCCGCTCGAGCTGAGACTCCGTTAGCAAGTATCCGTCCTATGAGTGTTGTTGTTCAATCTAGAACTGCCGCGGTTCTACCCACCACTGCTAGCGCACCAGTAATGGTAGCGCCTCATCAGCAGCAACAGTCGCAGCAGCAGGTAGTGCACACCACTGAAACTAGCTCTCCAACTAGTAGTCTTCCGGATTTCCAACCAGCTAGCACTAGCAGCTCGTCGCAGACGACTCCCAGCACTTTGCGTCAACTGGTTGTACAGCCTCAGTTGAGCGAGTCGGCAGAGTCGACGCAAAGAGAGGATCCAGAGAGTGCTGAGACCCTCAATGTCCAGCAACAGCAATGTCAACAGCAGCAGCAGCAACAACAACAGCAGCAGACTGTAGCGTTGGTCAGTCCAAGAGTCGAGCAACAACAGCAGCAACAACAACCTGCTGCTAGCGATCAACAGCAGACTGTAGCTAGCAGTTCCACGCAGTCGGTGAGCACGTCTCAAGCTTCCACAGGTCACAAGCGTCCTAGAACACTGGATTCAACAGCGTCAGGATCTGGAATCGAGGCTATCGATCACAGTAGACAGGATCAGGCGTTGAGTCCCAAAACCAAACGTAGCAGACAAGAAATAGCGTCCACTGCCAGTGCTAGCGCTTCAGAAGTCGAGTACCAGGTGAAATTGGATTGCAAAGATATTATACAACGTAGTGCAGAAATGATGAAAGTGTAAATATTGAAATGTCGTTTCGATTTCCAGGTGCCAACGTCGAGCCAACGGGATCAAGATGAAGAAGTCGAGGAGGGCTGTGTAGTTGTAGTGGACTGTGACGAAGGCGAAGGTGGTGGCAACCATCAAGCGCAAGAAGAGGAAGAATTTGACAATGACCCGTACGAGATGGAAGAAGAAGAGGAGATGCCTTACGAGGTTGAGGGCGAAGTGGAAAGGGACAATAACGAAGTTGAGATTATCATGGGTGAAGATTCCACGAGTGTAGAAGTCCCCAGACAGGCGCAAGTCACGGTACCCACAAACCAGCAACAACAACAATCAGAAGCAATAAGCAGCGCTGGACCAACCGGGGAACCACCGACATCATTTGCAACGAGATCATCGCGTGGTATCGCACCAATGCCTAGGCAGCAACAACAACAACATCTGCTTCTGGTTTGTACCTTCTTAATAAACAATACAATCAATGCGGACTTTGGAAATATTTCTGAATCTATCTTTTTTAGCCACAACAGGGATACGAAGATGGTGGCGACGACAGTATAGTACCGAGTACTCCAACTCTGTTTGTTCCACGTCGTGGAGATGGATTCGGAGAAGCTGTTAGTTCGCCACAAGTTCCTCAGGGACGTTTCACCTTCGGTGACTCATCCGCGCCTACGACTGCATCGTCTACTCCATCCATGTCGACCTCCTCTGGTTCAGCAGCTCGAACGATATTCGGTTCATCGAGTTCTAGCGTGGCACAAGTGGTCCAGGAGGGCATGGATGACAGTAGAATGGATCTGGTACAATTAGATGACGGTGGTACTGGTCGTAGCGTACCTACAACGCCCTTGCAAGTTTCGCCGGCAGCTGATTTACCACCTTCGGTATGAAACCGTTTATTTCATTATTGTCATGGTATTCTTGTGCAACGGCGCTTCTTTCAACCGGTCCCCTATCCGTTCACAGACAAGCAGTGGACCATCCGAAGAGCCGGAAACAATGGTCTCGGTGACCCCTGCGTCAGTAACAGGTACCACTGTTGGTGATACTAGCGAAGAACCTGCGATACCTAGTATACGTGTAGTCGGTGTCGATGATCAGCAACATAGTCAAACTGAAATAATCACAGAATCTATGACACCGACTGAAGGTAGCGATCACTAACTAATAATATTACTCCAAGTTCGTTTAGCGGTAGTCGCGAAAAACACGATCAAAGTCTATAAATACTTGGTATACCGATATCATCTGTTTATATTACAGACTGAATTCAAACCTACGAAACATGTGCCGAGTAATGGAATCGATTGTTTGTGTAGGCATGAGCTCGGACAGTGAGAAGCGTACGGAGGAAGCTGGTCCACTCATGTCTGGGGAGGATGATGCGGTGGACACTGGCGAAGGCACCGAGGAACCCGGTAGCGACATAGTGGAGGACGAAGTTGAGGAAGAGAGTTGCGAGGCGGAGGCAAGTCCATCTAGCAACACACGGCAGAGGGTGATGCGACAAGCTGCGGTCGCAGCTGCTGCTGCCAGAACAGCTACTGCCAGAAGATCATCTCGGTCGCCATTCAGAGCAGCACGGGGTAGTCGGCCTACGCCTATCGTTTGGGAAAGTCAGTCTGGCAGGGGTAAGCAATTACCAACTATGGTAACTATTTACAATTGAGCACCTAATCGATTTCAATGAATTTGGAGAACAGTACCTATGCATGGATTATTGTACCAATGAATGTCATTAAAATCAACGAGGTGTCCTCTTTGTAATTATTCCAAATGACGTGATCTTGACATCGATGTTTCTGAAGGACAACCTGTGGTACGTGGAGGACACGCGGCGAGAGGGCCTAACAACGAGACCGGAAGAGGACGTGGAACGAGAGGACGCCGGATGCGCTCCAAATATCCGTCGTACGCGCGATTCTAAGGACTAAGAGTGATGATTCTTTGTATACGAGATCACGTGAGAAAAAAAGAAAAAGAAAGATCACCGTTTCCGCGTTCGAACGGTGTAACGGGCTGACTGGTGGGCTGTTAATATAACAACATTTCAAATGAGAATATTTTTATTTAGCATTAATTAACGATAATTATGTTGTACAGATAGATCGATCGACACGAACCCGTAAAAAAAGAACTTTATACTATGGAAATTAGCAGCGGCGGGTACGCCATTTTCTCTTACACTATATCTCGATAATTGAAAGAGACATTCCTTTCATCGGCTTCTCTTTTGTTTCCTTCGCTGATGAGAATACTTGTAAACACACATACACATATATACACGCATACACACACCCACAACTCATTGAGAACTACATAGCATTTAAGTTATCCTATTTATTTACTTGTAGAAAGTAATTTTTTTTTATTGAGCCTGTCGTTTGACTAAATATCGTCGGTACAGATGCACACGAAACTGAACGCGGTTTCGTCGCGAGACTAAACCCGACCCGGCTAGTTTTAGTCGGTTCCTTAATCGATACAATAAAAAAAACGATTTCTCAGGATGCGTCAGGAGTGTATTAGTTGTCTTCTAAAGCACATTTTATTTCAGTGTTTTACAGTGTTTATCCAGTTTTTAAGTGATTATGCTTAAGTATGACTTCCACGTGTCAGTGATAAATATTAATAAATACTATACAAAATAAATACCTATGGTTTATAAACGTCTGAGCGTAAATCCGATTTCGATCGCGAAATTAAAATAAATAACGAGGTATCGGGGCGCGTACGAATACAAGAAATGTATTTTTAAATGTATAGCGCAGAGTTGACGAGATGCGTCCGGGGCGTAATCGTACCCGCGTTGCTAACAGGGCGCCTTCTTCTCGTCAGCTCTGACTCGTACATCAGTCTCTTATTCGATTGAAAATGTTTCCAAGCTATGTCAATACTTCTCGAATACTTCGAACCGCGAAGAGAGCTAATTTTCAATACCTAAATACTGAGACTCGTAGTGCACACAACGATTTTCCCTAGGTTTCTCGATAATATCACATCTACGATGTTATTGTTACATCATTAAATTAATATCACAATGGGAGACAGAACAAAGACGATTTTTTCCTCTAAAAGGGCGACTTACATCTAACGTCTGAATACGTTTTTGGTCCCGTGTCAGCTCGCCTCTTCAACTCCATACTTCGCGACGGCTAATAGCAATAAATATGACTAGTTGGATCGTACACTTGATCTGTCGTAAATAAAACGTGCGTCCTGTGAAACTCGATCTTCTGCGAGCGGCCGGTTCCCAGCACTTTTGTCGTCGCACGTTCTATCGGAAGCGACGGCGCGGTTCCTTCCAAAACAGGTGTCCGGTCGTCGGGCACTTGGCGCCAGGAAGGGACAGCCGTTGCACGTTGTTGGGCACGAGGCCAATCTTCTTTGCGCGTTGCAGTCTAAATGCACGCGTTGAACTAGAAGCCGGCACGCCGGATCGCCGTGCGCCACGAAACCGGGAAACACGTTTTAATCCAATCTCGAGCCCCAGTGCCGGTCGACGTTGCGTCCGCGGTCTCGTCTTCTTCGTCCAAATATTCGTCGAGTCACGTTCAACGCAGCTCTCGTCGGGACGAAGACCCGCGTCGCCCTGGCATCAGGCGACGATCACTTTCGGCTGCAGGTATTCCATCTGTTTGCGATCGTCGACCGTGGTGAATTTGCAGGTGCAATTGCCGTGCTGCTCCACCGTGATCCACCTCTTCGTCGAGTCTTTCTCCTTCACCGTGCGGATGTCGATCTGCAGCTCCTCGTAATAGACGGACGAGGACTCCGGCGTGCAGATTCTGTCGCTGCTCGAACAGCATCCGGAGTGGCCGTCGCAACGCTTCACCACGATGTAGATAGGCTGCACGATCACCACGCCGATGTCTTTGTGCATGCTTTGCATCAGGTCCTTCAGATTGTACGAACGGAGCTGCGGCTTCTTGCAGGGGAATTTGTTGGACTCGGTCATGGTGGCCCGGAAGTCGAGCCTCGCCGACGTCGGGACCATGTTGTCCAGTGTCAACGGGACCAGTATGATCAGCTTCAGCAGGCAGCCCCGCAACGATCTACCTCTCATGCCTCGGATCTGTTAGCACCGGTTTCTCGACGATCTTGACCCGCGCATAAATCTCGCCCGGGAACACTGCGTGAATCGGTTCAACCACCGCACCGGCAGCCTGTCGTATCGAGCGGCGATCGACTGAGACTTTCCTGCTGCCAGAAGTGTATTTATACGTGGAACAGCCTGCATACATGCTACAACGCGGGAGATGCAGACGCATCAATGGGGACCGGTGCACGATGGAGGAAAATAATTATACGAATGACTCGCAAACTGGTCTCGGTTGAAATATTTATTTTACGGGCGGAACACGGCAATTGTCGCGCGATCTTTCGCGTTCGCGTGCATCGACCGTCATACAGAAATCATCACCGCGATCGTCGCCGTTACAGAGGCCCCATCCGGCCCGTTTAGCCCGTCTAGCTTCTCTCCTTTAAATCGTCGACTCGATCGCAAACGAAAAAGCACACGCGCCCCGCGATCTTCCAAATTACCGCTGGAAATTATTCGCAGCATCTGCCCGCTCGCCTCGTCGCGATCGACTAACGTTCCCGATAATGCGGCGCGAAACGTGCTTATATCAAGCTCGAACTTCGACTTCCCATCTATTGATACGACACACGAACAACTCACCACTCCGACGCTAAAGCTGAGACAGAATCTTAATGTAGCCTGTTTATCGCTCGCGGTGGTTCGCGCGCAGCATTGTTTACGAATTTTCGTGGGCTCCCGTCGATAACGATCCCGGTAACGACGTCCGCGGGACATTGCGTCTCGATTACAGAGAGTTTCGCGGGTTGTTTCTTCTTTTTTTTTCATTTTCATCGAGATTTTCGAGACCCGCCGATGCGCCGAGCCGGTCGCAAGTTTTCCTGGTGCGGTGGTGAGTTTGCGTCACGGTGACCATGATTCATTGGCGGTTGGATTCTGTTTAACCCGCGCGAATTTCTCGTTACCTTCTGTAAATAATTGAAGAGTCATTAATTAAATAAAATGGCGATTGTACATTTTCCTGCTTGCACGGACGAAGAAAATTAGCGCGATGCCTCGCGACCCGCGATCTCCGTTAGGTCAATTATTCTGTACAAGGGCCTCAACGACGATTTCAACGGTCTTGTAATTCGGTGTCAAGGTCGTCGTTCATAACATTTTCTTATATACGGTGTATCCGTTTTATCCGGAAATCCTGGATGTCTCAGAAACTGCGAAAGATAGCGAACAAATGTTTAATAATGCTTGTCAGATGTGGAATGCGTTACGAACAGCTTTCTTGTTGGCGAAGAAATGGCGGAGGTTTCAAGGTCGCGTTGGTTCTCTTTTAAAATTGAATGCTGTATTTCGTAGCACACTGCATCATGGTACAATTTTAACATAAATCCAATGAGCTGATATTAAACGTTCGCTTGCCTTTCGATAACGGGAGAAACAATTTACATCTGTTCACGCTTTCTCGTGTACCTACGTACTTCGAAATTAATCATCGATGCCTTTTACACGTTGCTTCAACGTCTCCTCCGTCGTTATAAACACAAATTCGCGGTCGTAAACACTAATCACGCCGAGTGTAACTGACCAAAGGTATGCGACACGCTATGGCTGGATCAAAACGACGAGTTTCCTCCTTTCTGTTGACACAAATTGCTTCTATTGCACCTCGCTGCAGCATTCGTATTAAATTGTTCTACGATACAGCGTACAACAAAACATCATTCAATTGGAAAAAAACCCAACGTGACCTTGACATCTTCGCTATTTTCTCGCCAACGAAAAAACTGTTCATACCACGTTGTCGCACCTTTCATACCATACAAGTATTGTTTAAACATTTTTTCGCTGGCTTTCGTAGTTTCAAAGAGACACACATATTAACGAAAATACCTACAACTTTTTAACACTGTTTATATGCCTACGTATAGTTTGTTGGGATTAGGTACGCGTGGGGGTGGAGACGGCCGGCCAGACCGAACATACAAAAAACCATGTGAACCATGTGAAAGCCACTCGATCATTTTTTTTCGAAATCTTTCACATATATGATTCTGTATATTTTAATTAACCCGTCCACCTCCTCGCGATCTTAACTCTAACGAACCTTGCGTATAAACAGCGCTAAAACCGTGTAACACGAATTGCGAAACACCGCAGAATAATAACATTCATCTTGTAGCTAAGCGGGAGATACCTGTCTATATATGTATATATAATTATATATAATTATATGTGATATATATTATTATATATATGTCTCGGAAACTAGAGGTGTCCGACGGTGACATGTGTAGGAAAAAGTTGTTCAGAATGGCGACCTTGACAACATCGAAATAAAAATTATATAAATTGTGGAAGTTGAACTTTGAAATTTTAAGAAATCGAACCGATGATGTAGGAATTTTAATTTCAAGGCTTTGAGATCGGTGTCGAGGCCCCCATTCCTAATAATTACCGCACGAATTGTTTAATACGTTATCTAAATCCATGCGAAACTTCGTCGCGTGTTTTACTTTCGACGATGTTACATTTCCGCGTACGTTGCTAGTTCGGTCAAGTTTAGTCACGGCGAACGATTCTAGCTGAGGTTGCGGCTTTGTCTTGCATTTTCCAATAACTCTAATTGACGGCATCGTAATTATCGCTTGTGCAGCATGTTTGCCCAGCGATGAACATAGCGCGATTTGGGTCATGAGTTCGATATGGTACTCGAATAGAGCTGATAAGTGCACTTCCTAGCTCGTACACGTGGCGAATAGTACACCGACCCATAATTATTAATAAACCAGCATCTGTGTGGGACCATTTTGGTTAACGGAGTACAAAGAAACTCAATGAGTTCGATGAAACAGACCCGAAAGAATCGGAAAAACTATTGTACTAAACGACCAAATGTTGCAGAAGTTCTTCAACGATGAAACAAGGACGTTGCCGATAAGATGGCGGATCATCGACCATCGGCGTACCGCTCGAAAAAAGAGGCTTTTCCAACAACGATCGTTTATGTTTTATTTATGCGTACGGTCAAAGGTTCGCTCGGCACTTTGCAACTCGCCTTTCGCTCTTCTCCTTCCAACTTTCTTCGGCTTCGTAACTTGATAACATTTATCTTGAATTACATCTTAAATTATTCGAGTCCTGCGCCTCGTTTTTGTAGGCGATCGGCAAAGAAGTTTGATTAATAGTATCCCCTCTTCCAAAATTGGTTACTTTTGCTTACAAACTGAAGGATAAAAAATTAGGAAGAATTTACTGTATTTCGCTCATTTAAATTTAGCGAATATACAAACTACAGCAAATTCTTCCGAATCGATCCTCGGCTTGTACACAAAAAATGGACAGTTTGGGAAGATGAGGTACGATTATTCGAGTCCTGCAGCTCGACTGTCAACAACTATAAAAACGAGACGCGAGGCCCCGAATAATCGCATCTCTTCTTCCCAAATTGTCCATTTTTGTGCGCAATCTGAGCGCGAATCACGGAGAAATGACTGTAAACAGTGTTTCCTTGCAAATGACGGCACAATGACGTTTGTTGTCCAACACGTCCGATCCGTTTTTGTTCCTCATAATACGGATTTCTTACATAATTCCTGGGAAATACGATATCTGTTGGAATCGCGACTGTAATTGCGTATTTTTTTTACGACTGGAGGAAACACGTTTAGGTGCGATCATCGATAACTGGGATTATCAGATCATTACCAATGCTGATTTTCCACGGTTCGAAAAGTCGTACCGCACCCATATTTCTGCAACTGTGATTTCCAAATGTAATTGAATATTTGCGTAAAGCCCTTCGTCAGGGAATTCCCAGGTGGTCGTTGCGACAGTTTTCATTACAGATCGCCGGTAGAAGAACGGGACATGATTGGCACACGTAGCCGATGACGTCAGAGGGATATCCCTCGCGGCAGGATAATTGACCACAGGCAATTCGTATTCCAATTTCGTTCGGACTTAATGCTGCCGTTTTCCTACAGACCGACGATTCACGATTTAATTATAAAGGAATATTCTATAAATAGCCGTCGCGGCTTGTATACACGCAAAAACTCTTTCAATAATTGCGGAGACTGAATTTCAGGTAGCATGACCGAAGAAAAGTCGTTCATTTTAATGACAAATAAATGTCGAACTGTATCCATCATTGGACATTTTCGAGTCCTTCGTGAAATAATTTTGCCAACATATTGCAACTGGCGTCATTGATGTTTGTTAAAATAAAAACAAAATTGTTTCATAAGAACGATCAAACTTCCTGTTCTCGCAATTCTTTTATTATTTTTTCGAAGCAACAACGACTTGTTAGAATAATCAGTAGACCGCGGATTTTATGCATTTATATAAAAAAACGATCAACAGTTTGGGCTTATTGAAGTAATTAAAGAAAGACAGCGATCTCCGAGCGACTTCTGCTACTTGCGCCGAATGGAAAACATTTTTATATTGCATAAAGGTCCGCGATCTTGTAATCGGAGTTACTAATCGACGAATCCAATGGACTCGAGCGGACCTATCGAAACTCCGTCCATCGGTCAAGGAGTTTCTTTTCCGATTCCTACGTCATAGTCTTGCTGTGTCGCAACGATCGCCGCGAGTATCCTGTTTTGAAACGAGAAATTTCACGAGCACAACTATGTGCCGGGACCGAAATAGAAATCCGTCGATCTTTATGAATTTTAACTTGGCAATGACGATGCTCGCGATGACGACACTCCCAAGGTCATCGACTGGGGTCTGGGGTACACACCTACGGCACGTAGTTCGGTTCATAGATTCGCGAAACTATGAACCATGGTGTGAGTCAGTTCCCCATAAAGCCGGTTCGACGTGAACGGATGATCACGCAATTTGGTGTTCCCGAATTTCTAGAATCGTTGATTCACGTCACGATACGATCTCTGCTGACTAAGACTCTTTCTCCGGTGGCAGATATCGGAATCATGGTGCGTGCGTCGACCTCTTTTGCAAAAAAATCAAGGAAAGTGACGAAGAATGTTGTGAACGGACCCTGCTGCAACCAGACACTGGGCAGACGAGTGCACCGCGGTGACTCACTGCAACCTGTCGCATCANTTAGCGAATATACAAACTACAGCAAATTCTTCCGAATCGATCCTCGGCTTGTACACAAAAAATGGACAGTTTGGGAAGATGAGGTACGATTATTCGAGTCCTGCAGCTCGACTGTCAACAACTATAAAAACGAGACGCGAGGCCCCGAATAATCGCATCTCTTCTTCCCAAATTGTCCATTTTTGTGCGCAATCTGAGCGCGAATCACGGAGAAATGACTGTAAACAGTGTTTCCTTGCAAATGACGGCACAATGACGTTTGTTGTCCAACACGTCCGATCCGTTTTTGTTCCTCATAATACGGATTTCTTACATAATTCCTGGGAAATACGATATCTGTTGGAATCGCGACTGTAATTGCGTATTTTTTTTACGACTGGAGGAAACACGTTTAGGTGCGATCATCGATAACTGGGATTATCAGATCATTACCAATGCTGATTTTCCACGGTTCGAAAAGTCGTACCGCACCCATATTTCTGCAACTGTGATTTCCAAATGTAATTGAATATTTGCGTAAAGCCCTTCGTCAGGGAATTCCCAGGTGGTCGTTGCGACAGTTTTCATTACAGATCGCCGGTAGAAGAACGGGACATGATTGGCACACGTAGCCGATGACGTCAGAGGGATATCCCTCGCGGCAGGATAATTGACCACAGGCAATTCGTATTCCAATTTCGTTCGGACTTAATGCTGCCGTTTTCCTACAGACCGACGATTCACGATTTAATTATAAAGGAATATTCTATAAATAGCCGTCGCGGCTTGTATACACGCAAAAACTCTTTCAATAATTGCGGAGACTGAATTTCAGGTAGCATGACCGAAGAAAAGTCGTTCATTTTAATGACAAATAAATGTCGAACTGTATCCATCATTGGACATTTTCGAGTCCTTCGTGAAATAATTTTGCCAACATATTGCAACTGGCGTCATTGATGTTTGTTAAAATAAAAACAAAATTGTTTCATAAGAACGATCAAACTTCCTGTTCTCGCAATTCTTTTATTATTTTTTCGAAGCAACAACGACTTGTTAGAATAATCAGTAGACCGCGGATTTTATGCATTTATATAAAAAAACGATCAACAGTTTGGGCTTATTGAAGTAATTAAAGAAAGACAGCGATCTCCGAGCGACTTCTGCTACTTGCGCCGAATGGAAAACATTTTTATATTGCATAAAGGTCCGCGATCTTGTAATCGGAGTTACTAATCGACGAATCCAATGGACTCGAGCGGACCTATCGAAACTCCGTCCATCGGTCAAGGAGTTTCTTTTCCGATTCCTACGTCATAGTCTTGCTGTGTCGCAACGATCGCCGCGAGTATCCTGTTTTGAAACGAGAAATTTCACGAGCACAACTATGTGCCGGGACCGAAATAGAAATCCGTCGATCTTTATGAATTTTAACTTGGCAATGACGATGCTCGCGATGACGACACTCCCAAGGTCATCGACTGGGGTCTGGGGTACACACCTACGGCACGTAGTTCGGTTCATAGATTCGCGAAACTATGAACCATGGTGTGAGTCAGTTCCCCATAAAGCCGGTTCGACGTGAACGGATGATCACGCAATTTGGTGTTCCCGAATTTCTAGAATCGTTGATTCACGTCACGATACGATCTCTGCTGACTAAGACTCTTTCTCCGGTGGCAGATATCGGAATCATGGTGCGTGCGTCGACCTCTTTTGCAAAAAAATCAAGGAAAGTGACGAAGAATGTTGTGAACGGACCCTGCTGCAACCAGACACTGGGCAGACGAGTGCACCGCGGTGACTCACTGCAACCTGTCGCATCATACAACGGCGTCGATCGAGGAAGAATGCGTTCTATGCGGTGCCCGGGCGCAGTCTCGCTCGACTAACAGTAGTCTCTCTATCTACATCGATGCTGTAGTTTGTAAATTGATCTTAATTTCTTTTGTTGTTCGATCAGATTCTTTCGTTGGAAGAAATTGGAGCACCGGATGCAAAAGATTCGGTTCGGACAGCGATGAACGGTTCAGCTTTCCATCTGCGGGAAGCGTGAGATCTCGGTCGATCGGTGACAAATTTCGCCGGGAATACGATTCGGTATTCGACCGGACCTTGCTTCGTTCGCGTTAGTCATCCAGATGCAACAGTAGATGCGGCGGTTCTAGGTGAAGGCTCTTCGGAGTACCTGCGGCGGTGTTCGATGTTCGACGAGGCGACAAAAACCGGCGTTGACGGGGGTAGGGCCGTTGTCATTGCCACCAGAAAATTACCTGGAACGAAATTCGACTGGTCAGAGAAAAAAGTGCTCGGGATGCAGCCGGTGCATCGGAGAGATAACCGCGCGGAGGCTGATCATTTGACTGATGACTGGTCGAAATTTGCCGCGGTCCAGGTTGCAAAAAAGGTCGGAGAGCCGGTCGAGAGAGAGAGAGAGAGAGAGAGAGAGAGAAGGAGAGAGGGGAACGCGCGCGCGAGAGAAAGAGAGAGGCCGAGGGGGAGAGACGAGGAGAGGACGACTAGTCACGCGACGTAACGCGGTCCTCGGCTCGAACGGGAGGCAGGACCCACTAGTTGTAATTATAGTTATCTCCGCGATGTTCCCGGAATGCTTTGCTTCGACCCCTCCCTTCAGCTTACCGGGAACCAAGAGGGAGACGGTGCGAATCGCCTCGAGGACAGGACGAAACGATACCACAGCGCAGATCCCAGGAGAGACAAAGAGAAATCAGAGAAAGAGAAGAGGCAGGGGGCCGAGGATGAAAGTTACATGTATATATAGAGAGAGGGAGAAAGAATTCAGATCGCAGAAGAGAGTAGTCCCAGTGGCCGGTCTTGGACAATCGCGAACGATCTGTCGGAGTGAACGGAACGATCGACGGAAGTAGGTCCTCCAGTTCTCCGAGTTTCATTCAAGAGTTGCATCTCCGGAGCTGACACAAGCCTGGAAATGAGAAGCCTCATTTTAGTCGTCGTCTGCGCGCACCTGGCCCTTGCTATGGTCGCTAGGCACCACAGGTAATTAAATATCCAATTGTAGTCTGCTTTTCAAAAAGGAACACACCCAAGGCACTACGAGCGCGCTATGGGTGTCTTCTTCAGCATTTAATATGGTACAGAACGCTTTACCTTCGATAGAAAGCCTATTCAACAGGTCTCCCAATGACTGCGCTACTTCTGAAAGAAGTTGAACAATTTTCTTGCGAATGATAGCCGCAAAAGAAACTGTTACATGAGCGATCGTCGACAGGCAAAGTGTTACAAATGTAGATCGAGCGTCGGTCATGTGATTCTGACAGGCAAAGGTGACGACCGCTTTCAAATTTTCCAGGGACAGTGGATTTCTGAACCACGTACAACTGGTGCACGAGTTTCGGTGCTCTATGCCTCAACCGAGAGCGGTGCCAGTGGAGGAGCTGCTAACTGTTGGTCCAAGTCCCGACGAAGTTTTCTATCCGGCTTCGACGGTCCTGACGCGTTGCGACGGTGCCGGGTGTTGCCCTGACCCGAAACAGATTTGCGCGCCCGTCGAGACTAGGAACGTCAGTCTGGTGTTCACGGTGAAGCACACGATCGACCGGCAACGAGACAGACACCATGAAGTGATACACGCGTTGGAGCACACCAAGTGCGGATGCGTCGACAAGAAACTGATCAAGTTCGACTGATCCGATCGGACTGGTGTTGTAAAGTAGTTGCGATTAGTCTCTGTTGTTCGTGTACAAAAACGTAGCGTTCTAGTTAGGCGATAAGGCGACTTAGATGTAAGACAAGTTCCTCGGTATAACACCTTTCAGGACACCCGACTGTGATATTTTACTAACGTATTACATTGTTCTCTGTTTAATATATAAATAAACGGTCAACGTTTCTTCGATAACGTTGTGTATTCTATTCTTCGTTCAGACCGATCGCTAAGGACCGTCAGAGGACAACAGCAATCGGTCATCGGTCTTGGACCTTAATCCTTCTGGTCGAAATACTGTTTCGCAACTAGAACGTCGCGCTTTATGCTGTCATTGTCCGGCGCCAATTTCAGGGCAGCTTCCAGCTCGGGAATTCCGTGCTGAGGCGAGGACAATTTACAAAGAGCCGCGCCTCGTCGAGCGTGACATCTGGCTCGAGACTCACGGTTGCTCTCGCATTTCGGCTCCATTAGTTCCAGTGCCTGCGAACGAAAAATGCGACGGTAAACGAGTTCACAGAACGAAAGCAAGAGGTGTTTTTAAATTCATTAACACTCGGACGACGATATTCGAGTCTGTAATGACCCGTGTATGGTTACAGAAAGTTCCGTTATCCGAGGATTAAAAAGTATATTAATTCTCCTGTAGCGATGATCGGATCCTTTACTTTTGAACAGTCTTCTATGCATCTGCAGTAATTCCCCAACGCGTATTGCGCTGCCGACCGGTTCACAAACAGTGACGTTAGCTTATCGCTGATCTTGATGCCGTAACTATAAGCACTAATTGCAGCCAAGTAGTTTCCGACTTTAAAGAATTCGCTGAAACAATATGTAAAAATAGACTTGTTAATATAGATAGACGTTATCAGCGGATGATATCAGTCGACACAAGTACATGCAATTTCATAAAGTCAATTAGGTTTAATAACATAAAATTGTCGTAACGTTAATTGAAGGGAAGACACGTACTCTCCTTTGTTTTTCAGCCACTGTGGATCGCGTTCTTCCGGTCGCAGGTCCGCAGAGTCGAATCCTATTTTGCGTCTCGCTTCCGCTTGTTTTTCTAGCCACTAAAATGAAGAAAATTTGTTTTAAAAAAATGCCTGGCATTACTGTTCACAGGATAATAGCTTCAAGAACGGATACTTCTTGTTCCTCGAGATGAGAGCTTTCCCTGGCAGGAGTAGGGAACTTCCGGTCCGAGAAAGTGACGTTGATAGTCCCCTTTTTTCGCGGCAATGGAACCGACTTCGACGGATCATCGAATATACTGTTTCTTTTCACAAGCCTGCCGTTTATCGCAGCTTTCACACTCTCCCACCCTGGTCTCGATTTGTTCTTTTTGTTGCTGAATTTTTTCTTGCTGATTTCTTTGACGAATTCGTCCGGCTTAGATTGACCATTCGCTACGGAGTCTTCTGAGCTGCTTGAGTCATCCGTGGTGTCGTAATAATTTTTCTCATTGTTCCTCTTCTGCTCGTGCATATCTTCATTATCCTCATTCAATTCAACGATCTTCCTATTCAGTTCGATGTTCTTGTTCTCGTTTGAATGACTCAACGCTTCTTCCGGCTTCGATATTTCGTCATCGAGTACTTCCGTGATCCTGGCGGCGCCTAATATTTCATCATCGGTTAATGCTCGAGATTTTAATTCATTGCTGTCGTCTCGGAACCATTTTAGCGGCGGCCTTTTGGTAAATCGGTGTATGAGAACCATTATTTTAAGAAATGGTTATTAAAAGTAAAATCCTTGTATAATTACTTGTAAGCCTTTCTGTTCTCCTGCACCTCGCCGCCAACTTCCGGTAGAAATGGTAACTCGGCCATCGACCTCCAATCTTCCAAGTCTCGCATGGCTTCTTTCCGATGAGCATTTCTTATCGCGTCAATTTTATTCAACGTGGCCGTGTTTATGTTGATCTGCTCTTTAACCGCCTCTCTTTGCAAATATTGACGCTTTTCTGAGGGAGATAACATCGTTATAAATATTTTGTTATTTATAAATAGAAAAATACTAGCGTAACATTATAAATATGTACCCTTTTTAATCTTCTCGAGCTCTTCAGCCTTCGTTTGTGCACGTTCTAAAGCTTGGTTGCGATATTTTCTTTTCGTATCTTTGTCTATGTTTTCTATTTCGAGCGAGGGCCATTCTATGGTAACTTCCGTTTTCTGTAACGAGAGAATCGCTTCTTGATTCGTAATAATGCATTTACTTCCCTCTTCGACGATATCGGACCAGAGAAACAGTTCCAATATGAAGGGTGGGAAACTGACCTGTTTGAATACGTTATGCTATTTTATTTTATACACTAAAAATGTTATGCGGTAATAGTACCTTCACGTAATTATCGATCACGAACACGTCCACATTGGTTGGATTACCTCTCAAAGGTATATTTAGAATGACTAATTCTGACGTTTGTCTCCACGTATAATCTTTGATAACTATAGCTGGCATTGCCTTCTTTATTGGTAGAACAAATTTAAATAATTAACCGTTATAATAACCTACGCGACCGTCCTCAGTGGTTTTTCTTGTTGATAGAATTGTTATCGGGGTGTTCACGAAGCTATCGATCAAACAATTTTCAGTATCGGTCGGTAACTTACGATAAAATCAAAGAACGTTTGGAAAAATATACAACAGTATACAAGATTATACTATTTAGGATCTGTATTTTAGACACATGTATACTTTACATTACAATTTCATCTTAATTTGTAAATATATTAGGTAAAAAATCAACAGACTATGAATATACTGTATGAATTACTTTTAATTAAAACGTTTAAAGAGTATTTGTTGACAATACTTTTTCATAGACAATATTAAAAAGCTGCCGTTCACGCAACTCCCACATTCCGTTTTTATGCATGGAACCATAAATTTATCTCCTTCTCGTGAGCAATAATTTAAAATGATCGTCAAAAAATGTATGAAAGAACATTTAGATACTATGCAGCTCCACAGAGATGTATAGGTTTTGGTTCTTGGGCTAGACTATTACTTTTGGACAAGTGTTTATATCATCGTTAATTCACATTACCTAAGCCATTCGTTGAAAATCAACTACAAACTTATCGTAAATCAGTCGGTTTTTATCAAATGTCTGCTCCTAGAAAAATTGCAATACTATTCATAAACGAATTGCAGGACGTTCTGATCCCGAAGGATTATTTTTGTTTCACTCAATAAACGTACGCACGCTTCCAAAAACGAATATTTTTGATTACCCTGAGATGCAAAACTGTTTTTCTTTTTGATGAAACTCCTGTTTTTATTTTTTTTCTCTTGCTCTCTCCTTTTTGTTCAGTTCCTACATTTCGTTGTACGTGACAACAGAAACAACAAGTATTAAATGTTTTTTTTTAAATATATCATGATATACGAAGTACGGTTTAAAAAATGGAGGACCTTTGATAAACGCTTAAGTTAGGAAATGAAAAACTATTTTCTATAAAGATATTATGACACTATAGTTATGCCTCTTACACGCCTTACGACATACTCAGTTTTTTTTTCGTAGATTACAGTATTATTGATCGTTCCATTGTGTGTATTATGTACATTGTGTGTATCAATGCCAAATACTTTGCTTCTGCGGTGGTTTCGTGCGAGAAGGAAACTTGATTTTTTTAAGAGACTGTTGACACGCTTGAAACAGTACGAAGAGACAACAAAGTAGTTAACATTGTACAATTACGTTTAACATTATCATAAATAAGTATACGTACAATAAGGTACGTTGTCTACATAATATCCAAGCGAGTCCCGTGATTATTATTCCCGAATGAATATTCAGTACGTGTCCTCGTTTGGTTAGTGGTTTTTGTATCAACATACATTATAATATCCACGCATATATGGGGATCTCGCTCGACGCATCGAAGCTTTCGCAGTACATTATACCACTAATCATGTGTTAATAAAGATTAAAACTACGAAGTCGCATGGAATGTCTAAAGTATACAAAAGAACGCTAAAGAAGTTCATCACATAAGTTAAAAATTATCGTCGCAATAAAATCGACGTTGTGCGGTTACACTAGTACTTCGTTCGCGTAGTATAAATTTCGCAGGATTTAAAAAGTAGAACGAATGTCTAATACAAACATTAAAAATGGTGGCAACGTGATCTTGCTAATACTTTATTTAGATATCGATTTGAGAAAGAAATGCAATCAACTGACTGGATCGTTCTGAAACGTACCAAACGAATTTTCGATGGAATAAATACAGATGAATAGAGTTCCTTTGTATGTCGATCAATCTACAAATGGGAAATTTTTATAACACGTATCTTATTGACAAAATACAAATTCGTTGATAGTTCAATGATGTACATAGTAAATTCATTTTTTTCCAAGGATGAAATATATTAGAACTCTAAGTTCACTATCGTTTCGTGAAATAGATTACGAAAAACCGTCATTACACAATCAAATCGATAGTAAAAATAAATACAGAGACAACAATATTCTATTAACGTGAAACTTGCATTGCCTACGAAATACATACTTAAAATTATTTAAAAAAGAAAAGAAACTCTAGACAATCAAAGGTTTATTACAATTTATCTAAATGGCTTGAATAGTTTTTACATACATATCACGTGTATACGTCTGGCATTGTAGGCATGCATGCATAATCATACATGCTCTCTTTTCCTTGGTTCGTATTCATTGTTGCTTCATAAATAATAATTAATACAAATACTACAAAATCAATGAAGCAACACGAATACAAAAGACACCTATACCTATATAAATAAATGCAAAAATTAAGAAATTACGAAAACTTAATAGTCGTGTATAAATAATCAAAGTTCAAGATTTCGGATAGCTAAAAATTCGATCAAGTATATTCATTTCATTCCGACTGCTTAATCGCGGCAATAGAATTAAATACAAGACGGAAGAATTGAGAATACATACACTACGAACATCATTGGAATATCGTACACAAGATTTCCATATGTCACCGAGTTATTTTGCAATATTATTGCATTTCATAATGGGCATAAGTACATAATTATACGCACAAACTATTTCTTTCTGGCAGCCTTCTCTGCTTTTCGTCGGATGCGTTCCATTTCCTTCCTTTCCTTGCGTTCACGCTCCGCCTGTGCCCTAAGTTCTTTCAATTTTCGTTTCAAGTGAGACTTCTCTCCTCCTGAAATACCGAAACCTTTCAGGTCGCGAGTCTCTAATCGCAGAAGATTTACGCCATTAATACCAGTTTCCATGAAGCGCGGCGCAAACCGCTCCAAGCCCATTCCAGTTAACCATTGGCACACCTAAATAATATATACAATTAATTACGGAACAATCGTTTATGAAAGTAAGCCATTTTAAGCGGTTGCACACTTACTTGTTCCTTGGACCAATCGGTAATTGGGGCATTTTGCCAAAAGTGAGATTTCTTGTCACCTAAACCAAAGTCACTTGGATGAGGAGGCAACCAAACTTCACTCGCATCTAGATTTGCAACGTTGTACGCACAAGCAAGACATTGGATAGAAATAGACATTAACGTATGCATGGAAAAAAAGATTTGTTTAGCGACGACACTGTGATATGTTTCTACTACCTGTCTTGGATGGGCTAGGATCAGCAGCAGGCGGGCTCACTGATCCACCAGAAGACAAACTGGAAGGTGAACTACCTGGATGATGCCAAGGCGTCCCACTGCTCCCCACTACATTCGTTGAAGGAGTAGTAACTTTCTTCACTGTAATGATAAACAATTAATCAGGAAGGAACTCCACCGTATACTCGTTCATTGTCAGATATGTCACCTCTTTGATTGGCCTCGTTAACAGCCTGTCTTATTTCTTCCACCAAATGATGGGTCACCAAAGTCGGATCACTATTGTGTGGGTTATTTAAATCACTAAAGTCTCCGGAACTCTCCCTCGAAGAAGACATGTCGTTACCGCCAAGCCGTCTTTCCCTCTCAGCGAGAACTTGCTTTAATTGTTCCGCTAAGGACGCTGGTGGTCCAGTTAAATCTACGTAATAATAACAATTATTTCATATCCAATACTTCACAATTTAACCTTCACATCGATTGTGTTCAGATAAAGAAAAATAAAGTACTTTTCTGAGACTGCGGCCAACTTTGCTCCGTCATAGCTCGGACTTGCGAACTAATCGTACTATGCTGTCGAATCGCCGTGGGATGCGTGGGTTCCATATGCTTACTCTTCAGCGAACTAATCGAAGAACTACTGGAATAGGAACTCAAGTTTGATTGCTTCGACGTCAAGTCGTTTGGCGATCTACTGCTAGCGTCTTGAGATAGAAGCTTGGAAGAAGAATCCTCGTCTGTATTGTCTCCCGACTCGTCCAAACCGTAGTCCTGAAGAATTGATAGGATGAAATAAATGTTTGCCTCCCCCTCTTGAACACACAATATTAAATCACGTGTACATACAGAACTGCTATTGCTAAGGCCACCGGATCGTTTAGGAAGCTGCCGGTTCGCTAAACCTCCTCTGCTAGCAAGCTCGGCCTTACTTTTCCCTGCAGAGTTATCGAGAAGTCGATGAGCTGGTACAGCTCTGTCTAGTTCCTCTTTGACTGGCAACGGTAGTGGCAATTTCCTCTCAACTGTTGCTGTCTTGTCCCCATCGTCCGGACTACTAAGATCCGATGTCTCTGTATCCGAGAGCTGGCAACTAGTAGACGAAGATGGTGGCGGTAATTGACGTCGAGATAATTGCGGTGTCACAATTCTAGCCGTTGTACCATCGTATGGTAATCTCACCGGCAAACCAAATCTTCTCTGAGTCTCGGTTAATTCTACTTCCAATGTGATTACCTGAGGACAATTCATGAAAATCCTCAATATCATTATACATCACGTTTCATTCATATGTTAGTTATTAATAGTAGCAGCTAGCGTACCCTATCCTTCAAACTCTTCACAAGGGCATTGTACTCCGTATCTTTCTCTTGCAACAACTGTTGGTAGAATTCGTCTCGAGATGCAATGTCCGCACGGAGATCACGTGCTGCTCTTCTTGCTCTCGCATACTTCTGTTGCAAAGCGGCATTCTGCGCTGTTGCCTGAGCCAGCATTTCCCGTGCTGTCGCCAAATCTTGTCTGGCAGTGCCTAAGGCTCTCTCAGATTCATGGAGTCGCAAGCCGGATTCACGTAATTTCGCTGCATATTCCTCTCTACCTGCCCCGCTGTTTTCCAAGTCTACAAGCTATAAATTGAAAGTATAGAATGTAATTGATTGCAACACAAGACCAACAGGATTCGATACATATGGTAAGAATGGTATGGAAAGCATATGCATGATTTCATGGATAAAAGCGTGCGATGTAGAAACACATAAAATAGCTTTGCGAAAAATCTGATGTGTTTACCTTAGCTTTCAGCTTTTCCACCTCTCCATCTGCTAATGCTAGTTTATACTGACTCTGCAAGCAGCGAACAACGAACACAGTGCATAAGCAAAACCAAAAATATATTTACTCCTATGATCTCCTATGAGGATGTGCTGAGATGTGTACACAAAGTGGCGGTATAACATAGTACGTATATATACATTTATATACAATACTGTATAGTGCATAGGTTTTTACTACTTACACTTTATCATAAAAGATGAATGTGTAAAACATTAGATATACTTCGTGCAGTAATAAAATAATGCAAAAGTGCGCTACGCTGATTATTAAAAAAACTAATTTGAAATAACATCACATGTTTCTTAACACTACAAGAGAAACTACTTCATGATAAGTAATGAGACCACGTCATGTATTTCTCATTAATTATACATTTAAGAATAATAAATGGAAAGTGTGGCACAGCCTATGTATACTAACACGTTCCTTATCATCAAAAAAATAAAATTACTTACCTCTTGTAAAAGTAATCTCAGGCTGTCTACATCGCTCTGTGTGGTAGGTGTATGCGGTGGTAACGATGAACTAATGATAGGAGATCTACTCCGACCAGAAGCTGATAAATAACTTTCGATAGGACTGTGGGGAGGCTCCCCTTCGGAACACGATGACATGGCCGGAGATCCTGGTATCGCACCCATGCCCCCACATATCTCTTCCCCAGATCGTTGACCATCAGGCGAGGCATCCGAGAAATTCAGTTTCCTATAGCAACAGCAGAGGCATTCGCGTGAAAACATTTTACACGTCTGCAGCTACGTAAATAGTTTATAGGACTTCTAGTTCCCCTCAGTACCTCAAGAGACCTCGTGTCATCATTAAGGTGGCCGTAAGTTGTCGTCATAGACATTGGCGAGCAAGGATAAACCATCATTGGGAACTTACTTTAAAAAAAAAGATCGTGTAGAAAGTTAGCTAATACCTAGCAGAGTTAGCTTGTTGCTGTTGTTCCCTTTCCTTATCCGCCTGAAGACTTTGTTGTATTAGCATAGCTACTTCAGAGTTCGGGTCGCGTTCTCTGCCGATCACGAAACGCACAAGACCTGAAGTATTTCGAAGAACACTGGCTGCATAAGCTTGTGTAACCCCGACTAAAGATTTTCCGTCCACTTCAACAATTTGATCGTTTACTTGTATTCTCCCTTCTCGCGCGGCTGCCCCCTTCTCAGTGATGGTCTTTACGAATATACCCAACTTTTCAAGCCCTGCATCCGCACCGACACCCATTCCAATAATACTTAAACCGAGACCCTCGGGTCCTTTCATCAGCTCTACCGGAAATACCTGAAAACATATTTATTTATCATTATGTAGAAATTTTTTGATGCAATCATGTGTTCTGAATATGTGTTGTACAAGCACCTCCATCTTTTCCACCCGTTTTTCGAGTTCGTACTCGGCACTCGCAGCAACGGGATCCACATCTTCGTTATGACGATCGTACTCGTTCACCGAATGAGTGGAATAAACTCTCATTGGCCCCGTGTCGAATGTAACTTTAGTCATTTTCTTCACTGGTATATTTGCTGGATAATCCTCCTTTTCTTCATCCGACTCCGGTATTCCAGCGACCTCCATCCAAAAGTGGCCATCCTCAAAGTAGTGCACTCCATTCTCCACCAGCACCTGAATGATCATTAATACGTTTCATTTATTATTATTATATTTTCACCATTACTACTGTTACAAATAGATTGCGGAGCTTTATGGATTTATAGGATCTGTGATCTTTTTATTTTAACTGTAAGGAACCTTTCAGCCAAGTAAGGAACGTACATAAAAATCCACGGTCTAATTATCACCACAATCTTACAATTTTTCCTGGCATTGGCGGCATGTACTCATCCTGATGCTCAGTCTCTGTATCGTCATTAGTTTCGTGAGTATCGTTCAAGCTGCTAACTGAACCAAGAAGACCACTTTCGCTTCCCGTTACAGAACCCACTTGACTCTCCGTCAACGAGTCTATGGTTAAATCGCTACGTGATCTATGGGATAAACTGAAAACAACAAAGATTTAAATATTGTTGAAAGTAAATAATTATCTGTTTTACATATATCGGCACTGAACGGCCTCGTTTGCGCTCAATGAACTAATTAGAAATAAGGCCATAGCGCAAGCCGCAAAATATTTTTATATAAAGTGAAAATAAAAACATGAAAGACCAAACTGATTCACCTATAATCATTAGTGGTGCTATTAATAAGACTGGTATCTGGAGCAGACAAGACATCGGAGAGCCAATCTGGGGTATTATCTTGATCCTCTCTCTCCCTCTCTTTATCCAGCTCTTTGTTCTTATCAATAGAATTTCCATCGTTTATAGCCTCTGCACTCACGGTGGGTGACAGCAGTCTTGCTATTTCTTGTGCTTCCTCATCCGATAATAAAGCCGATCCTTGTCTAATTGATTATTTATACAGTTCAGTCTTGCTCTCACACTTTAATATCATGATCAATGAAATCAACGTGAAGCCATAAAGTAACAATTAATCTTACCTTATTTTTTTCTCTAGGATGCTGCGGCCCCAATAGGTAACGTGATTGTTGGTAATTGCATTGAAATAAACATGAATAGTAGAAAATATTAGAATTCAAATGAAAGAAAAGAAAAGCTATTAAGCTTATCGCAAGTTGCCATAAAATTATTTGCTATGCAACTAGAATTATCCAATTTCATATAAAAAATTATTTATATTGAAATAGATACATCCTATAAATTTTTATAATTTGTAGATCCTAAAATAACTTATATTTTTGAGTTTTATGATTTAAGTGCTTACCGAGAACTCAGCAGGTTTTCTGCTTCGTCAGCAGTCATGGTGTCCGGTGTTACAGGAACTGCTTGGTTCAGATTAGTTTTAGACGGAATTTCTATCGCACTCTTCGCGGTATTTTGTTCGTTAATAATGTGTTGCGTGTCCACTGGTGCGTATTCCAAATTTGTGATGGTCTTAGTGTCGCTTGAATCGCTATCTTCGTGAAGACTGCTTTCCGTTGCAACGTGTTCAACAACTTGCTTTTTATCCGTATGTTGTTGAGGTATAATTGCAGAGGATGAGCTTTGAGATGCATTGAGTTGTTGCGTCGAGTTTGTAGAGTTACTTTCCTGCAGTCGTAATTTAGCTAATTCAGCCTTGAGTTTCTCCTGTTCCCACGTCGTCTGAGGTTGATCCGATTCCTCCGCAGTTTTATTTAAAACAGTGCTTACTGTCTGGGAATTGGATTTGGATGGCGGTGCTGTATTTCCTGCTAGTGTTACATATTCCTTTTGGCTGGCAGGCTTTGAATTTACTTTAGAGGCGTTCACGTGATACGCAGTCTCGTCCAATTCTGTTTCTTCATTAACAGGCTTCTCCAATGGATTATCAGTATTGTGAAGATTCGAGATTGACGAGCTCTGACTTGTATTTAAAATGGCTTTGTCAGATTGATCCTTAGTATCGACCTCCGTGAAACTCGATCGTTTGCCAGACACTTCCTCCTTGTTCTTTATCTTCTCCTTCTCCCACAAAGAACTCTTACTTTGATCATTTTTGGCATTCGAAACGATCTCGGCAAACGCATGCTTCTCGTTGATAATGTTCGACTTCGGCTTATTATCTAAGATTATATTTTGATTTACTTCTGTGATCACTGAATTGGTTCGTCCATGATCGTGATTACTATCTTGCGATATCTTATTATGGCAACTTTTTGTTGAATCAGTTTTTATCACTGCGTTCTCCTCTATGCCCGCTTTCACTTGTGGTTTAACTTCGTTATTTTGTGGAGAAACATCCTGCTGTTGCATTTTTCTTGCATATGGCGAGGGTATTGGTATATCTTTATGTTCTAGAGCTGGATACTCTTGATCCGAGCTAATTACCGACGGTGGTCGTTGTCCCAGTCCAGCTGCTTGCAAATCGACACGTACGTGAGAACGTCGAATGACGGTGGTTGTATCTGTTTCACTGAATCTTGAATTTTTATCTGAAGCGTCCTTCTCCGAAATAGTTTCCGTGTAGGATGCAGGCTTTTCTTGATCTTCAGGTTCCAAATCATAACTGTTCCGACCTTGAAAAATGATATTATTATGTCAAATATGCAAAAACACATATAAAAGAACATAATCATTTAAAATGGTCATATTAAAGTACCTCGACAATCAATGCAAAGCAGTCGTAGACACATGATAATTGCACCTTTTGTGTATAGAATGATGAAAAATTTTCAAATTAAACTTCTTACACAAAAAATCACAATAAAAAAGTAAACTATAATATCTCGTTAAAATAATTTTACTACTTCAAATAATTCGGAAAATTGAACTACACAAGCAATATAAACAAACTTTGGTAGAAATTATTGTATTTGGTACAATGCGTATAATAGCGCACATACTTTGCATACAATTTTTATGCTATATCATTACACATTGCTGACACTATCATTTTAGGGAACACGTTTCTAAAGAACACATCAGGAAATATCCAACTTTTCCGTAATTCCACATTCCACAAAACAGATATAGCTCGACAATAACAATTAATTTTTAACAAATCTTTTTTTGTTAACACTACTGGAAAAAATTGATCGGAAATTGAAAAATACTTTTCTGAAGAAAATGCTGCAAAGTACCACCAGACAGAAGCAGAACAGAATACACAGAGATTTCTATAAATAATACTGTTGAAACCGGTAGGAGGAACCAAGATCGAGAAGAGGAGGAAAAGGGGAAAGAGGAGAGTTTCCTCCTGGGCTTTTACTTTTTAGTATTTTGGCAGACAGCCACAGTAAAATATCAAAATTTAAATACGTTATTAAATAATTATTTTTCAGCAATAAAAAAAGAAATTGTTGAAATGCAATCAACCAATAACTATATTTACGTTAAATTCGTGTCTTTTATATATATGAATAATATACATACATATGTACATATATGTATATATTGTTTCATGTTTTGTGACATAATTATTGAGTATTCAAACGTGTATAGATCGTATTACGTACGTTTGTTTAGATGTGGATATAAATCATGTTACAGAATATGATTCGCATATACTATACCCGTATGAATATTTTCAGATATTTCCTTATCTGCCTTGTCTTCTTTACTATCCTTGGAAGGGGAGCTAGGGGAGCTCATACTAGAAGAAGCGCTATCCGTACCTCCAGAAGGTGGTCTTAATTCCGGATCCGGAGATTTTGAAGATTCTATTTTCCTTTCATCTGCCAGATTATCTTTTTTTCTGACCGTATTGATACAGGATCTGGCCCAGTCCGGTCTTGAATCAGGTCGGACAACTTCATCCTTGGATTCCACATCTAGCATCTCTCTAGAATTCTTTAGATCGGCCGCTTTCTTCAAGATTTCATCGTTCTTAGCTAACCATTCGTTTCTCCATTCGGAAGTCTTCGGCGGTGAACGAATCGAATTTGTAGGATAATTTAAATACTCCGGAGCATCGAGCAGATCACTATCTTTCCTGCATCTGTTTTCATAAGAGATGCTAGTCATATTCTCTATTGACATGCTCCGCGTTGGACTAGATATATCAGAATTTCTGTCATAAGGAGAAACGTGTGATTTCGATTGCGAGTATATATCAATGCTTGAGCTTGCGTGTGGATTCTTCGAACATAGATTTGTTTCCGAGTTGCTGAAGCCTTTTGCATGTTGAGCAGAAGTATTTTTTGATATGTCTGCATTCCGTGAATGTGCTTTGGCTACAGTGTTCTTCTGTACAACCGCGTACTCAGGTATGAACACATCTTGCGTTCTTTCTGCTGCCGGAGTGACAGCGTTTTTCGAAATTTCCCGTTGTTCTTGGTTTCTTTGGAAATGTTTGTTTTGTACATTCGTGTTCTTTTGTACAACCGCGTACTCTGGTATGGTGGGCGAAGTATCAAAATATTTATTTATAGTAGCATACTCTGGACTACTAGGAATATCTGAAGGGGACACGGCTGCGATGCTTGCCGGTCTTTCCTTCTTCACGTTTGAAGAATTTCTTGTCGGTGGTAGAGGTGGAGGCGGAGATATGGCTGCCGACCTAACAGAACAAAAGCTTGCGGATCTTGTGGCTGGATTAGTAGAGATATCCGTTGGTCTTTTCACTTCGTTATCAAGGTTTGCTGAGTTTTGTCCATGTCCTGCGGAAACAGAATCGACGTTTACCTTATTTGCACTCTGATTCAACGAGCTCTGGACTACAGATCTATTCGGATCCGAATTATATCTGCTCGGTCTAGTTTTCGAGAAATGGCTTGTCCAATTTTTCTGCTTTTCAATTAATTCTTTCGAGTTCAATCGCCGTTCAGGTTTCTCTGGTTTTTCCGGCCTATCATCCAAGCGATTTTCTTTCCCATAATTTTTATCAAACTTTCCAAATCCTGACCGTGATTTATGTTTATCTGGCACATGATCGAATCCATGGTTGTGACCATTTTCAAAATGTCTTTCAGCGTTCAAGGCTGGGACGCTTGCACTCCAATTACTCAGGTGGTCCCTAGTTCCTGGAGGCGATGGTGATCGAGGACGGGGCGATCTAGCCGGCGATGTACAGCCTGATCCAGAATTTGCTGAACTAGAACGTGATCTTAAACCGTGTAGGTTGCTGGGCTTCGCGATTCTGTCGACCCTGTAGAAAATTTATAAGATAGATAAGTAATGCACCATAAGATAGATAAGAAGTGTTTATCGAATATTTCATGTATATATTTACGGTTTGTTTGGCTTATTTTCTTCCCCAAGTTTCTCAAAAAGTGCTCTTGCATTATTGAAACGAGCAACATGACTTTCTGTTCTAACAACTGTGACTTGCGTAGGAGATTCTTTTAAAGGCACAGCAGGTTCTTTGAAACCATCCGACAGAATATTATTGGACCTATGGTTTAAATTGTCCAGTTGTGGTTTTGATTGGAAGATGTTTGCAATGGCTGACACTTTTGAACCACTAACACGTTTCTTTTCTTCCACAGTTGCCATTGTTTCTGTTCTTTTATATAAAGGAAACAAAGAATATAAATTCTTGCAATAATATTTGGTATTAAATCAAATTTCATTATGAAAATTAAAAACAAATAGAAATATCAATACCTGGACCGTATTTATACAAAAGTAATGTGAATTTTAAAGCCTGATATGCTTCAGCCCATTGTCATTCATATGTTTTTTATATTAAGCATTTTTTGGATGATCTGAAAAAAGAAATAGTAAAATAGAAAAATAAAAAAAAAAAATTTTCATGAATTAATTCAAATATATCATTGAATTATCTTGCACTTGTATATCTATTGTGCATGGTCATTGTACATTAATGCAGGTCATTGATCTGATAGCACTTGTAATACTTCTTTGAGATACTGAGCATATTCTTTGATAGCATTAGTGAAGCATTTTATTAAGAGATTACATTAGGTATATCTGTCCCTGATTGTCTGAAATGATTTAAGTTAGACTTAAATGGAGGGCATAGTATACAGAGGTGGGGTCTTGTCTGGGCTTCACCCTCCCATTGCCATAGCACACCATGCTCCTGCAATCAATACTTGAATCCTTTCTCTGTAGTTGAAGTATGAAAAGTGGAAGCATACACATGTTATGAGCTCATATTATGTACTTTGTATATAATGTGTAAAGCCTTTGTAATAATAGACTAAAGTTAACTGTACCTTAAAATAAATAATGAAGTTAATGCTGCAAACTTTCACTTATAAATTTTTTATTATAGTTTGAGTGTGTCACACAAAATGCATCAAATTGTGCATAAATTGGATAGAACAATATATTTCATAAGAAATAATCTCAAAAAATGTTAATTATATGGAGTCTTATGTGAACATATATTAATGTCCTATTAATATATAATTGAGGGAAATAAACTTGTACAGCAGACTAGATATTTTAAATGTCTCAAAATTGAAGTGAAAATGGTATAATTTTATGATTAACAATATATATCTTTGAATAAATAAACTTCTATATTCAGTATTAAAGGGGATGTAGGATATGTAGAGTAGCCATGCACACATTTTATAAACACACTTCTTTAGAAATATAATAACATGCTGACACAGTCATATCTTTTGTGTAACACATTATCCACATGACACATTCATAAGGAAACAATTTGATTGATAAGATAATAGTAATACTTGGAGATTTTTATAACTTAATAAAATTTCGAATATTTGAATTTTTAAAGATCTTTACTTTCGTTTGGAAAGCATATTTAACGCGTATAAATAATAATTTTTATATTGTCGATTTTCTTGTTAATCAATACATGATATTTAAGGTTTACTTCCTTTTTGTGCCGTCTGATAAAAATCATGCATTTCCGTTTTGAAAAAAAATGTCCCCATATTGACGCGATATCGTTTTACGATATTTACTTTGACAACGCGCATATCTTGTGTCCGAACGATAAACAGTTGCAGATAAATCACGTTAGAAGCGTTATTTGTCGAACAAACGTACCAGTAAATTAATGATTGAACAACATGCATGTACATAAAATTGAAATCAAATTACGTAATATTGAAGCCCTACTTTTATTATCAATCATTCAGAATGTTTACAAAAATTCAAGTAAACGTACGTAGCATTTCGCCATTATAAAGGTGCTGGCCAACAGATTCGAAGAAAATTTGGGATAATACTTAGCATCGGTGGTTTTCTTGTTCGTCATGTAATTTCATAATCAACGTTCAATCCTTAGCGATAAGAATGCACACGATCGAGCGGAATTACTTTTAAACGAAATATGTCAAAATGTTTATAGAATTTGCTAACTAACCAGAGGTGTCACCATGTGCACGAAACCATTTTCCCTTTTATAAGATGTATTTTCGATGCTTTCGCGACTTCTTTCTCGCGACAGCTCGATTTTCTTTTCGCACGAAAGAGAGCGCGACCGAAATTATTCCTTTTCTTGCAAAATATTAAATAAATACAATAGGACTTTCGCACTTGTCTCTGTCAGGATCGCTTATATTCGTGACAGACGCTCGTTACCGCGAATTTTTTCACACTTTCGTCCTAGAATAGTATTCCGCACAGCAATCCCGAGCGCGTGAACCGGTATCGCTTTTAATTCTAGTTTTCTAAACAACCACTACTTATTTCCAAGTTAATCGCGATAGGATTTTACATCGCGAAACACTTTCACAACCGGCTGTGATCTGCCCGTGTCAACAACCCGTGAAAAATGGTCCAAGATGGTCGTCATTCCTTTTTAAAGATGGCGGCCCTCGCACGTCGCTAGGGACTTTAGTCCCGACAGATTTTGAATAAAAAAAATCTTGTTCTCATGTTGGATAAGGCATTTCATTTAAATTTAGATATACATATGTATATTATCAAGGTCTAACGGAACGTGCATGATAAAATATTCTTCTATAATAAAACGGGTATAGGAGAAGTAACAGATTTGTCTTAAAATTGATAGAGAATCTTAGAAACTTATTATTATATCTATTTAAATACATATTTCTGTGATATCAGCTAAATATTGGATTAAGTCCTTAGAAGTTTTTAATTTAATAGATACAAGATTTTCAATCGAGATATTCTTACCTTCGTTCCAACGATAAGGATTGTACGTATACAATGAAGAAGAAAACCGTAAGTTTTTATCGTAGAGAATAAAGTAAACTCTTATTGCAATGAAATTACTTCTTTTTTTATCCATTATATACATGAAAATATTTTCAAATTGAAAAAAAGAATAAAATCAACAAAACATAGCTACTCAGAGTTGTCCGTAAGATTGTATCATTTGAGTTTCAAAGTATTTGTACAATTTCCAGTAAATTGAACACGAATATAGTCCCTGAGCTTTGCACATACAGTGCGCCTGCGCACACAAGTCTGTGTATCGTGAACATAGTTTCAGATTTGTCTATTTTAAAATAGTGTTCTGTTATTAAAATTTCTTCACATAGTAAAATTAGTCTCAAATGTGTCAGCAAAGTGAGTTACGAATGTGCACGATAAGAACAATTTTTCAAGTAGCATCTAGTTCATGAAATTGTGAATGCTATGTTTCAAATAGTGTTGCGCACTTTCAATTCCAATTTCTTTAGTTAATACCTCTCCACTCTTATTTCCCATTTCTTTTAGTTAATATCTCTGCCAATCTCTGTGCTTTACACTGAAATCTTGAATAAAAAGATAATATGCTAGAACGTAGTGTGAAATTTTGATTGCAAGTATACTATTGTAGTTTAATTTCAAATTACAATCAAGGGAAGTGAAAATATTGAACAGACTGAGGATACTAAGTCCGTGACATAGAAATAGCATTGTGATAGAAAATAAATGACAGTGGCACATCTTGTGGTAACATCTCGAAACTGCATTTCAATGTCCGTACAACGCCAATCGACGTAGCGATGAAATGCTCAAACTGGTAGACAATGTATATAATTATAGAAAATTACCTTCTTTGCATACACATTTCGAAGTGTGTAAAGCTCCTAGCTCCAGATTTACAAGAATTGTTTGAATATACACGCTGTATGAATTTGTTTCCAAATCGTGAAACGTGCCATAATACGGATGGGTTATACAGAATACTCGTTTCCAGCTAAGAAGCTTAAACGATTTACCGACAAAATGAGAAGAAACATGGGTTTACGAGCTGACACTTAAATTGAGTTTCTTTTTTTATTCTTAATGGAAAACGCCGGTGGCTCTATCTCTATTTATCAAGTAGCCACACATCTTTAGATAATACCATGTATGTAATCTGTACAGCAGACCTGCTGGATACGTAAAGTCGTGTGACCACTCTACATCTTAAATTTTCTGAAGCTTCATTTTTACATGACAAAATAATTCATTAGGACATTTCTGTACCTCGTGTGTGTTTATAATAAACTCCCATAGAATAAGTGCTGCAGTAGAAATGGACTATGGCCCTATGGATGACCAGCAGAGTTTACTCTGTTCTAAGGCAGAGGTCATTACTTGTTCGCATTGATGAGGTGTTTGGTCGATAATTCGAGAAGTTTCGTGGAGTAGAAACGTGGTGTGGTAAGAAAGTGAGCCTTTCTGTTTCAGACGTCTGTGCGGAACATTTATCGTTTGTTACTCTGTGTGTCTCGAGATTTTTCTTGTGAAATCTGACGAACAATGTCGAGCAGCGAGGAGAAATTCGACGCAATGTTGCTGGCCATGGCCCAGCAACACGAGGGTGGTGTGCAAGAAGTGAGTAAATAAGTATCCTCGCCGGTATAGGTTATGTTTCACTTGTATATCATCAGCATTACTTTGAATTCGTCTTTGTTTCGCAGCTGTTGGATACGATATTTAGTTTTCTCGCAAGGAAAACTGATTTTTATACTGGCGGCGGCAAGGGAGCTGCAGAAAAGGTAATTACTCTCATTGTTGATGATGGTGCAACTGTCATCTTACCTCTGATTTTGTCATTTTCTAAGATGTTCTTTGTTCAAATTGATATTCGAGTAAAAAACGGTGAGTCACTAGGTCGTTCGCATATTTCTACGTTTTCGAAAGTATGGCTTTAACTGGTTTTCTGCATGAATCTAGAATGTAAACATCTCATGCCCACGTTGTTTTTTGTATATCGTACGAGTCCTATCGTGAGTTTTTTACATGTAATTTGAGTTCATTGTGCTCAGCTCTGCTGTCTTCTTTGAAACACGCAACCAGAGTAAATTTAGAAATATTATTAATTCAGTAGCAGATGAGAGATCTAACATGTTTACATTACACTGTTTTCGCTTAATATGTCAGCTACGATCCTTTAACAAACTTCTTAACGTCAGTAGCAATTTGAACTTTGATTTCCGAGCTTCTTTTTGATATATCATTCTTTTTTAGAATGCTGTTAATGAGCTATCAATAAATGAAACATTTCTCTTTGGAAATATAAAGTGAAATATCAATGATAAATCAGAGAATTAATTAAATAGATAAATAAATTTCGAGTCCAGCCATTTTGTAACAACGAGGAAAAGATAAATTACAAACATTTCTTACAATTTCTACAGTAATAGCCACATTATAACTTTTCTTTTCACTCGATCTATCTATAAGAAAAATTTGTCGAATATTGTTCTAAACTAAAATTATGGAAAATTCACCTTGATAAATAATTGCACTAAAAAAAAAAAAAAAACTGCTGCAATTGTATCTGAACTAATCGTAGAATGTGTGTGTGTGAACGAAGTTTACCCTAGCTAATTTATTTTTATTCTATTACAGCTTGTTCTTAGTAAATTCAGGAAACATGAAAGCACAGCCATTGCAAAGGCCGCGAGCGAAAAGGCGGAGCGCGAAGAGCAAGAGAAACGTCGAAAGGAGAGGCTGGAAAAGAAAAAGAGAGAAGAGAAAGCAGAGGAGGAGAAGATGAATTCTGAGCGTAAGATTGTGGAACTGACCGATGAGGAAGCTGCCTGGTTACAAGAGGAAATAGATAGTAAGGTATACAAAAGATTGCAGGTGTAATTGTCATTTATGTACCATACAGAAAAATATATTTTTATATAATATCTTCTTGCTTGACTCAGAAAGCAGAGAAAGAAGCACCAGCAGTTCCTGGACCAAGCGGAGACAATGCCGATGGCGAAAAGAAGGATGAGAACATGGAAGACGATGAGGAGGAGGACGAGGTTGAGAAGAACAAACTCAGGCCTAACAGTGGAAATGGCGCAGATCTGAAAAACTACCAATGGACTCAGACACTTCGGGACCTGGAGGTGAGTACCTCGAACAACTTACGCAAAGATACTCTGTCTTTGAAAGATATTCTGTTTCATGTAGCAATAATATCATTTTATCCAAGTAGGCTCTCTTTCGATTCGAAACACGATTGGTTTGAGAATTAATTTCTACTCTAATAATTAGCTTAACTGTATTATACTTACGAATTCATTGGCCGGCCTACGCTCTCCAGAAATAATGATAGAAAAGATTTCTATTCTCGATTACGGGGAAATCCAAATATTTAATTGATTGAGTACACTACAGTATCCGAAGGCAGAGGAAATTTATTTCGGGAATGGGTGAGGACATGCGAGAAATAAAACAACGCTTTCCATTCTTGTGGTTTGACAGTTTCATGTTGGATCGACGATTAATTAATACGCAAGTAATATCACAGTTGCGGGAAAACGATCGACGCGATCGTTTCCCGGTTGCTTTCTTTTCGGTACGATTCCTGGAACGACACCCCGACGGAATCCGTGTTTTATTCAGCGTTTTGTTAGTAACAATTAAATAACGACCCCTAAATTAACATCCGCTTAAATCTTACTCCCGTATCGTCGATTGCTCCGCCACTGTACGTTGATCGAACTGGTACTGTGCGTATGACTTAACGAAGTTTTACCGATGACGACGACACCGCAACCATCTAAACGCGTTACAATTCTATCGTATCGGTCCTCGCCTCGGTCTCAGCGAATGTCTCATAGTTTCCCATACGTTTTTCTTCGTTCAGGCAATACATATATTTTCAATACCGGAACTACCAGAGAAGCGAAAACGAGTGAAATTGAAAACGGCAGACAGATTGAAAGAATCTAAAAACAATTTCTTTCGTAGTTATGACCTCACAGAAAATTTATATTTCTTGTATGAATATGTTTACCATAACTACCGAGCCCTAAACGAGGCCAATGTATATCGTCTTATAACAATGACAAGATTGAATGTATTTAAGCTTCCTATGATTTTTTATTATAATACATGTTCGAACGAGGAAGTTCGTATAAAAATTTCTGACAAAAACACTTTTATATTATCATATAGGAATTGTAAAAGAAAAATATCGCAAACCAGTCATTTTGACGAATTTTTTGGTAGTTTCAGTGTTAAATATCAATCATCAAAATCGAGGATTTTACTTGATTTTAAAAGGAGTCGATGGAAAGGTGCTTTTAACGTCAAATTTAAGATGTCAATTTTCTGTACGATATTTCTACGATGTTTCCTCGAAACCTGGAAAGTGAATTTGAAAATTGAAGGAAACGAGACGGGAAGCTAGAGACTATCGATTCGCTACGGTCGCGCTTCAAGCTCTGTCCACGATCCCGAGGATCGTTCGCGAGACCAGGGAGAACCGGTCCGAACGAAAACGAAAAAAGCTACAGCCTACGCAGGCGTCGAATCGCCGTCATAGAAAAGAGAAAAACAGAAGAAACATAGAGAAACGAAGGTTCTACAATACTCGTCGAAGGTCGGGGGTCCTCGTGGACCTCCGCGAGGAAAGCTCGAGCGCCCCAAACGGGATAGGTTCGCGTCCGAGCGATCCGCTTTCTAAAACTACGTTCATTACATCAATGTAATTACTGAGTTTTCACGTACCGCACGCCGGTCACGGTGCAATACAGCCTTTGATACGTTATCTCTAATTGTGAGCTCTACCCTAACGGTCTAACTGGTCAGAATATACATGTACAGCGTGAATACAAGCAACCCGGTCGCTCGTGATCGGGGACGTTTCGGTGTCTCAGTTCATCCGCGTCTCTTCGCGATCACGGCCCACCCTTGTCTTCGTTGTCCACGTTCTTCCGCCTCGCGCCTAGGCTCCCAGGACACCAATGGTCGCCCGACTCCTATCCTTGGCTACGGCCTAGTGGTACTTGTCCCGAACTCTCACTGGAATCAGAAGCAAGTCATTCGGGTAGGAATATAATCTCGCGGAGTACCTATCATTGATCTTAGCAGACACCGATTGCTAGACTGCGGATCTCTAAGCGATCAAATATCAGAAATTTTATAATTTTATCATCATAACTTATTATCTTAAATATAGCTAGCCAGGAAGCCATTGATGGTTGATTTGATTGATCTAAAATTAGGGTTAATGTCAATTTAGTAAAGAAATCACGGTATCAATATAGCAGTGTGAATTTATAGTAATATGTAGTATATTTATACTATAGTAAGTGCACTATAGTAGTGTACTATATTTATAGTAATGGTAATCATGAAATTTCTATAGAATTGTATAAAAATTGAATTTAAAATTTAGAAGAATTCATTAGTTTTACAGATTGGTTAATCTGAATTAGAAATTGTTTCGACAAATTATATTATAGAGGGTGTAACAGATAGAATGAATTTCAATCTAAAATCGACGTTTTAGTTTTCCGAATTGTGAACATTTTTAATCGAGTCTGTTTCTGAGCTGTGAACGTAGTTGCATGGACACTGTTCTAGTGATTGCAACGAATGGTAAGAACAGGTCAAACATAGCTCATTGACAATGGAGAATCAAGATCTTCACAATTATTCGCAAGATCGCAGATTCACAGGGTTAATTAGCGAACGACCCTCGACCGAAGCTGTCGAGGCCCATTAAATTGAGTCTTCGCGGGACGATTGGGTCTAACCCGGACCCAGTTGCAGTCAACAGCGAGTTAAGACGCGAGTGTAAATTGCCGGAAGGAACAGCTGCAAACAAGACGCCAAGCCTCCGATCAATTAGCTCGACGAAACAAAGAAATAGCGAAATTTCTAAAGCAGACAGATTCAACTCTCCGAGTCTACGCTAATTGGACAAGAGATCGGATAAGGTCACGACGGGGGATCGGTTGAATCTAACGCGGAGAAGGGTGACTCGGTATACTCACTCTCCATGAAGAGGATACCGAGAAGCAGGCCAACCATGAATAGGAAGCTCATCGTGCAGACGAGCACGGTGAGCTGGTTCCTCGCGCAGCAGGACTTCCTGTAGACGGTGGTCGGTCTGCCTAGACCGTTCACAACCGTGAAGTGAGTGCTGCTGGCCACAGAGGCGGTGTCCGTCTGTTTTGGCGCCGTCACCGTGGGCGGATGAATAGCCGCGAGATTAGCCAGATTCGCGGCTGTCAATAGCAACGTGCCCGACGCGGCGCTCTGCAACACACCAATCATCGGTCTCATCAATTAATTCGGTTCCCGTTCGAAGCTATGCGAAGCACGCCCCCCTTCCGGCTCCGCCCCCGCGCCGTCTAGTCCTAATCGAATTCACGGACAGCCGTGAAAGTCGTCCTGTCGATCATCGTCTCGGTTCCTTCCGAGGAATCCGGCACGCCTCCCCGGGTTCTGATCTGTCTAGAAAGCGATCTCGATAAGACGAAATGTGATTTCTTGTGCAAATTAGCTTCGGCACGAGCTTTCGTTCCTGTAAGCGATCGTCGAACCTGATGTCATGGCTCGAGACCCAACAGGATCTCTTACCGGTTCCTTAGAAAGACCTGTAACAGTTCAATCTCCGTTCTGTTGGGTATGCCGATCTTTGTTAGTCTCTATCGGTCGTCTGTTCAGACGCCTGTTGCTTGAATAGACCTAGTCGCGTGTTCCTCAGGTCATTTGAAGCAACTTTTTCCTTTACAAAAATTTTCTCCGAGGCACCATTAACGAGTTATTAACAAAAAACAGTGACCAATGAGAGTTCAGCTGGCGCGAGGCGACCGAGCCAATGAGCGGAACTGGGCTTCGCGCGCTGGTTGGCTGGGCCGCCTCGCGTCAGCCAACCAAGAATATTGGTCACTGTTTTTCGTTAATAACTCGTTAACGGTGCCTCGGAGAAAATTTTTGTAAAGGAAGAAGCTGCTTCAAATGATCTGAGGAACCCGCCATTTCCGGATTACGAGACATTTTTGGGACACTCTGTACATTCGTTATATACTTGCTAGCAAAATCGTATCGACAGTTCACAGAATACTAAATATGTTTTAAAAATCTAATTCTTTCAAACTTCACTGATTTTCGCCGACTAGTCTCGAGCTTCCGGCTCAACCTATGACCCGCAGATAGTGCGACAAGATCCACGAGCCCCAGTTTTAGCTCTTAAAAGCAACTCGAGCGGTTCCGTCCTCGTTTCGTTGTGTAAGTTGAGGTCCTAACGTCAGTCGATCGTTCATCTTAAGGTCGCTAGATCGGGTCGCAAACACGGCGAACCCGATAATCGTGCCTGAGACCGCGAAGACCTCTTCCCGAATCCTCGTCGCAGTACAGTCACCGTTGTGTAAGTCGAACATCTCGCTCGGTCCCCGGTACACGAACAAAAAGGACACGGAATCGATGAATCCAGCGGGACCAGGTGCTGGAGATCGATCCTGTTAGAAGACAGGGTCGCTTACGTGTGTGCTGGCGGTGGATCCCTGGGACGAGGTGGATCCCCTGGAAGGCGAGTTCGGGTGCAGATGATGAGCCCAGCTACCATTCTCACTGTCCCTCTCGCTTCGGCCGACCAAGGACGGCCTTGGGATGTGCCAGGAAAGCGGGCTGCCCGCTACCGCCGTCGTAGCCGCCGTCGCCTCGATCTGAAACCAACGTAAATCGACGTGAAGCTTTTGATTGCATAAGCGATAATGTCGCGCCGATTACACTCCTCCGCCTCGCCCGCATGTCCTCCACCTGCAACCGCGTGTCGTTTATCTGTCGCCGAGGGAACATTACTCTACATGCGGCCCACAGGTTGTATCTCGGTTCCATCTGTTCGACGAGCGGGAGTCACCGCTCCGCGGTCCGATTGACCAATAAGCAGATTAAGTGGCCACTTAAAACGGTGTATTTTAAGCGAAACCGAATTCTACACAGCCCCCTGCCCGTCCAGCCCCGCGCCGGCTTCTCGATCGATCCCCGCGCCCGGCTTCGATATTAATTAACGGTGGCCCGCAACGGGAGCATTGTCTGCCTGTCGTCGTCGTCGCGCGTTTCTACACGCTCGCCGTCATAAACAAACTTTGCATACCAGTCGGCGACGTTTTCGTAAGAGTGTCGCAACCGCTCATTGTTCTAGCGCGGTTCCATCTGCGGGTAGCCGTGCATTGTCTGACTCGCGGCGACGAAACCGCGCGACGATGCTACCGACTTTTCTCTGACCCGCGAGAACAGAGAAAGAAAAAAGAGAGAGAGACAGAGAGAGAGGGAGGGAGGAGGGAGAATACACTCGGTTCCCAGAGAGAAAGAGCGATAAATCATCGGGATCTTCCCCGGCGAGTGCTCGCGGAGGAAGGATCTCGACGGAGCGAGATCGCCGCGGCTCGACATTCCGGTTTGATCGTTGCACAACGATCGTCCCGGTGCACTCGGAATTCCGGCGGGCCGATCGCGACCCGGTCCCGCGTTCTTTTCGCGAGCCGATCCTCTCTTCGGTAGCCTCTCTCGTTTCCTCGGTTCGTGAAGCACGGTCCCCGAGGTGCACGGCCGCGAAACGTTTCTCAGGGCCAGCGCCGAACCGCGAGCGTTTCCGCGACTTTGACACTGGAGGTCTGTCCCTTCGGTGGTCCGTCCAGTACAGAGCTCGGCTTCGAATCGGCTACGAATCGGCTTACTCTCCGGCGCGCAGCTCGTCGCCGCGCACGCACACCGATTACGCCCGGTTAATTGGCCATTTTCGCACGTAAATCAGCCGGTGTTTCGCACCGCGGTGGCCTACCTTCGCCGCTTGCCCGCTGGCCGCCGCCCAAGGTCCGAGGTCTTGTCTCTCTTTCGCCTTCTTTTTCGCGGCGCGCGCGCGCTCTCGGCTTTTCAGCGGCGCTACCGCTCCAGATCGTACCTCTCTGTATCGGTGCGGTCTAATGGAACGCCCGGGCCCGAGAGAGGCCCCAGACACGATTTATGCGTCCTGTCGGGCGTGGCCCGCGCAGAAAATAACGTGGAAGCAGCCTTGCCCGGCATTTTTGCCGATCACGATCTTCCGGGACTACACGAAACGAGGGTCGGGCCCCGGGGACCGTGTATCTCGCTCGGGCTCGCCCGCGATCGATTCGAATCGATCGGTGACGCAGAGAGGCGGCCTGTGCTATGCGTCGGACCTTCGGCTCTCGAAACGTGAACCCTTTAATTAGCCTCGCGGTAATGGGGCCGTGCTTGTTTCGGAAATTGGCGCGATTCTTGCGGACGTTGTTGCGGATTCTTGCGACCACGACGGTGTACGGCTGCTGCCGGAAACGTTTACCGTGTCATTGGAGCACGGAATTTGCGGACCCGATGTTCTATTAATGGGCATCGATCGTTCTGCTCGGTATTCTGAACGTTCGATAAATGCGGATCGCTGCGTGAATAATGAGCGTCGTCTTTTCTTTATCGATTATAGCCGGTCGCTTTTACTGGTTAAATTGGATAATTAGTATTTCTTTATTTCTTTATTTATTTTTTCATTATGCTGGCAAAAGCTCATTAATATCAGTATTGTATATTATATTATTATTTTGTATTATTATATATATTATTATTTTTTATTATTATTAATATGTTATTATTTATTATTATTATTATATTTAATAATATTTATTTGAGCAAGGGTTGAAAGTTCCTGCGTTACAATAGCGTGACAATACGTCGCGCAAGTAGTATATCAAAAAGAAGTAAAGAAAAAAGAAGAGATGATGTAATAAAAGAAAAAAGATAGAATGGAAGTAAAAGGAAGTGATCGAGATATTTAAATAATGAGAAACGGAGGAAATAGAAGAGAATGATACGGTATGAGACTGTTAGAACAAACAAAATAGGTCTAGGATTAGGAACATAAAAAAAGGGGATTGGGGAAAGAGAAGGGTAGGAAGAGTTATAAAGAGGAGGAAGATCAAATTGCGATGATAACAGAGATTTCAAAAGTGGTGTACAAGCAGCAAAAAGATCTAATACGCGGCCATACTAGATTTTTCTTTCTTGCAGAACGAGATAATTTTCGTTTCTTGTATGTCTTTATTTTCATTCATTCCTAGACTTTGGTAAAGAAAGAATCAAATCTTGTTTCGATTTAGAGGAAGCAAATAGTTCATATTTAGTAGATTATGTATAAAATGAGTCTGACACGTTGTCGTAGCGTAAAGTATTAAGAAGGCTGATCTTTGATTGATCTTTAATTGAATCGTCGCTAGTAGATAAAGTGTTAAGAATATCGCAATAAATATTTCTACCTCTGTAGATCACTGTAGAGATAGTAACTAAGCAGTCAAACGATTCTCGGATGGGAGGCATCTGAAAGCTGGCGACTTCGACGCGTGGACTTCGAAGAGTGTCATCGTCGCAAGCGTAAACGCGTCACGAAAACACTGCCTCGAGTGGACGTTAATACTGCAATAGATGGTCCCTACCCCGTGTTGATTACACCACGGATCATAAAGTCTGGAATGCCAAGAATAGAAAGCCGGCAAACGTTTTTTTGAACACGTGCCACCTACAGGCCGCGATTTCAACGCGTGGCAAAGCGTGACATTATCGAAAGCACAAATGCATCGCAGAGACCTCGGCGACTTTGTCAATCGCGTCGCAGCGACTTCGCCAATCGCATCGAACGTCTAAATTGCAACAAATATTTCGTGTGAATCGCGGATAAGAAATTACAAGCCGCCCGAGCCAACGAATTGTCGAACGCGTGCTGGCTGCATAATCCGGCGATTTCAATGCGCGGTAAAGAGAATCGTCGTCGAACACTTAAATTATCGCAAAGCCATTGCCAATTACCGTGTCAAGAGTCCATAGAAATTGAAGTAAATGTTTCAAACGCAGTCGGTAGCCGCGCGAGTAAGGGATTAAAAAGCGACGAAGCCGGCCGATAGATTCTGGAGCGCGTGACAACTGCCATAAGCCGGCGAATTCAATGCGCGGCAAAGAGTATCGTCATCGAACACCTAAATTATCGCAAAACCATTGCCAATCACCGTGTCAAGAGCCCACCGAAATTGCAGTAAATATTTTAAACGCAGTCGGTAGCCGCGCGAGTAACGAATTACAAAGCGACGAAGCCGGCCGATAGATTCTGGAGCGCGTGACAACTGCCATAAGCCGGCGATTTCAATGCGCGGCAAAGAGTATCGTCATCGAACACCTAAATTATCGCAAAACCATTGCCAATCACCGTGTCAAGAGCCCACCGAAATTGCAGTAAATATTTTAAACGCAGTCGGTAGCCGCGCGAGTAACGAATTACAAAGCGACGAAGCCGGCCGATAGATTCTGGAGCGCGTGGCAACTGCCATAAGCCGGAGATTTCAACGCGCGGCGAGGAAGCACGAACGCACCGCGACGATGTAGCCGGTCGCAGGCTCAGCCGCGTTTACGCCTGGCGAATCGTATCGAGGGTATAATGAGATTGCAAGCAGCTGCCAGCGTCTGTCGCAACAGATCCTAGACAATGGAGGAGAACGGCGGCAACGAATATACGCCGGGACGACCGTCGGTCGGGGGTTTCATAACTGAATCCCGATACCTGACAGAGCGTTCTCGGTGTCGACGGTGACAGGTATTCGTTGCGTGGCCGGTATATCTCGAAATTTTTGCTTGACACGGGAGGCGCCCGGCGTTGGAGCGAGACCGAGACGGAGAGAATGGCCTGGGACGACGCTCAAAGAGAGGCGTCGCGAGGAATTTTTGTGGAATTCAATACACTGGTCAGCCTCGAAGCGCCGCACCTGTGTTGCTGGGCCCGTGTAACGAGACACTCTGAAACTCCGATTTTTACCCAGCGACCGCTTATTTCTGTCGCCTGGCTCGCCGGAACCGCTCCGGACCGCCCGTTCGATTCTCTTCCTTCCACCGATCGATCGGCATTTTTCACCCTTACGTCGCGTAACACGCCTAATTCGACCCTATTTGAGCGAGTCATAGCGACGGTAAATCATATTTTCCTCATGGAAACAAGGATTTGTTCTACNCGATTTCAATGCGCGGCAAAGAGTATCGTCATCGAACACCTAAATTATCGCAAAACCATTGCCAATCACCGTGTCAAGAGCCCACCGAAATTGCAGTAAATATTTTAAACGCAGTCGGTAGCCGCGCGAGTAAGGGATTAAAAAGCGACGAAGCCGGCCGATAGATTCTGGAGCGCGTGACAACTGCCATAAGCCGGCGATTTCAATGCGCGGCAAAGAGTATCGTCATCGAACACCTAAATTATCGCAAAACCATTGCCAATCACCGTGTCAAGAGCCCACCGAAATTGCAGTAAATATTTTAAACGCAGTCGGTAGCCGCGCGAGTAACGAATTACAAAGCGACGAAGCCGGCCGATAGATTCTGGAGCGCGTGGCAACTGCCATAAGCCGGAGATTTCAACGCGCGGCGAGGAAGCACGAACGCACCGCGACGATGTAGCCGGTCGCAGGCTCAGCCGCGTTTACGCCTGGCGAATCGTATCGAGGGTATAATGAGATTGCAAGCAGCTGCCAGCGTCTGTCGCAACAGATCCTAGACAATGGAGGAGAACGGCGGCAACGAATATACGCCGGGACGACCGTCGGTCGGGGGTTTCATAACTGAATCCCGATACCTGACAGAGCGTTCTCGGTGTCGACGGTGACAGGTATTCGTT